GACGGACTTGAAAGGGTTTTTAGTTACGCCAGCTGATCGCTATCCAAAGCAGAAGCAAGTTATTCCACAACAGAAAAGGAGTGCCTCGCCATCATCTGGGCTACGTCGAAATTTTGCCCCTACCTCTACGATAGGCCCTTCAAAGTTGTGAGCGACCACCACGCCTTGTGTTGGCTAGCCACCTTGATGGACCCTTGAGGTCGCCTCGCACGATGGAGCCTGAGACTTCAAGAATATGACATTACTGTCATTTACAAGTCCGGCAAAAAACACTCCGACGCCGACTGTCTCTCTCGTGCGCCTGTCGACCAACCGCTACCCGACGACCCGGATGACGACTACTTCTTGGGAACGATAACTACAGACGACTTCGCTGAATGACAGCGGGCCGACCCGGAACTTAAGGCCCTAATAGAATACTTCGAAGGCAGGACTGCCGAAGTCCCGAAGGTATTCAAGCGCGCGCTTGCGTCGTTCTTCCTACGAAATGGTCTTCTACAAAAGAAAAACTTTTCACCGCTTCGAGCTAAGTACCTCTTTGTGGTGCCTTCAGCTCTGCAACCACACCACCTGCAGGCCCTGCATGACGATCCGACGGCAGGGCACCTCGGTGTTTCTCGCATGCTCGCGAGGATACAAGAGAGGTACTACTGGCCACGTCTCACCACCGATGTCCCTCGTTATGTGGGGACATGCCGGAACTGTCAGCGACGCAAGACACCGCCGACAAGGCCAGCGGGACTTCTGCAGCTAATTGATCCACCTTGCCGACCTTTTCAGCAGATTGGTATGGACCTACTAGGGCCGTTCCCGACGTTCGGAAACAAGTGGATCGTGGTAGCTACCGACTACCTCACCCGCTACGCCGAGACAAAAGCCCTGCCAAAAGGCAGTGCATCCGAGGTAGCCAAGCTCTTCGTCGAAAATATCGTCCTACGTCACGGTGCCCCGGAGGTCCTTATTACCGACAGAGGAATGGCATTCACTGCCGACTTAACTCAAGCGATCTTGGCATACAGCCAAACAAACCACCGCCGGACGACAGCGTACCACCCACAGACCAACGGCCTCACCGAGCGACTTAACAAGACGATCGCCGACATGCTGTCAATGTACGTCGATGTCGAACTTAAGACGTGGGACGCCATTCTTCCGTATGTGACCTTCGCATACAACACGGCGGTGCAGGAGACGACGCAGATATCTCCATACAAATTGGTCTACGGAAGGAGCCCGGCAACGACGTTCGATGCCATGTTACTCAACGTCACCGACGAAGAAAGCTTCGATGTGAGCGAGTACCTTCAACGTGCCGAAGAAGCCCGACAACTTGCGCATCTCCATATCAAGAATCAACAGACGACAGACAACCACCGTTACAACCTTCGACGACGCTTCGTGGAATACCAGCCCGGTGAACGTGTTTGGGTGTGGACGCCGATACGCCGACGTGGACTAAGTGAAAAGCTTCTGCGACGCTACTTCGGACCGTACAGGGTGGTTCGACGTCTCGGCCCACTTGATCACGAGGTTGTCCCCGACGGCATCACGAACTCTCAACGACGCCGATCGCGACCTGAAGTCGTGCATGTCGCGCGCATCAAGCCGTTTCATGCGCGTTAACAAACTGAAACAGTGTTTTTTATTATTGTTTCATCGTAATTTATTCATTGTACTTTCTTGCATTATTATTGTACCTTCATCTTTAGTTAAAGCATCGGGACGATGCCTTTTTTCAGAGGGGGGCAATGCCACGTTTCATTTCCCAAGTTTTGTTATCGTCCCAAAACACCACACGATTCTCAGCGCAAACCGCGCCTGCAGTTTTCGAGAAGGTTCCGGACTATAGTAGATCATTTCGATAAGATCACGCCCACTTTGCGAACGGTACAGATTGTTCTGGAACCTACGCCACCGCCAGCGATAACGCTAGAACATTCGATGGCAAGAGTATAAATGCCGACGCGCTTCGCCGCTTGACAGTTGTTGAACGAAGGCCGACGCTCCGTTCGCCGCTATCAGTCCGAGACTGCTATCTGTACAAGACTGCTGCTGTAATCGGACTTTCCGTTTACTGGGCACAGGTTCGCCCAAATAAACAGCTAAATCCGAACACGAAGTCTCCTGTCTTTGGCCACGTCACGACCGCGTGACAATATAACTTAGATGAGTCATGGTAAATATAGCCAAAAGTAGTTAGGCATAGTCGATCCAGACATCTTTAATTCAGCCGAGCACAATAGGACTAAATGAGGCGAACCTAGTCGTGGCCAAATAATTCAAGCCAAATTCAAGGCGTCGCAGGAGCTTTCGTAAAAATTTGAGTGACTGAAAAGGAAGATGTATCTCCTGAGTAGAAAGTCACAGCATATCAACGAAATAATGATGATGAGTAGGGCAAAGCGTCCATCAATCCGTCCATATTTCCGTACATCCGCACGTGCACCCGTTCATGCGTCCATTCGTGAGTCCGTACGTCCGTTTGTCCATGCGTCAGTCCATCCGTACGTGCGCCCGTTTGTGCGTCCGTCCGTGCGTCCGTCTGTGCATGCGTCCGTTCGTTCATCCGTCTGTTCATGTGTCTGTCCGTCTGCACGTCTGCTTGTCTCTCTCTCCGTCCTTGCGTCCATCCGTCCATCTAGTGAAAATTTCAAGTACCAACATCTCGCTTCTTTTTATCATGTATTCGTTATATACGAGTACCGCCATACAGCGGAAAATCAGAAAACTGAAAAATTATGTACCAAAATTCACCTGTCAGCGCTTCGTTAACACCATGAGCGTGATAACAATGCCATGCACCGTTTAAAGGGCGAAGCTCTTCACGGCGTGGCTTGTGTATTCCCCGTTGTCGTAGTGCGTAGCCTGTGGCACATACCCGCATACCAGTGGCACATAACCACCCTGAGGCACATATTCGCATGTCCACATGTTACGAAAAACCTAGTCTTTTACGTCTCGGTGTTATGAGTATTGGAGGATATGATGGTTTGACGAATTTCACTTACTGTTCATGGCATGAAGAATGTGAAAATACCGATGCATATGTCGTCAAATCATTTCCATACCCCTATACGCCTATACCACGGGCCAGTATATGCTACAGCGAATAGTTTACATCTACTGAAGAATGGCATGAACATTCATCGGTAATTCTAACACGAGAGCATTAAGAAACAAGCTGACATCAGCAGCATTTACCCTACAATTACAAAAAATAAATGTAGGGGCCCCAGCATAAATCTAACCCAAGTATTCTGCGCGGCGATCAAGCATTCCAGCACGCCAGATCTCGTACTGCTTTGGAAAAATACACTATTCAGACGTAATGTTGGTGAAACGTCCATGCGTTTGCAATGCTGGCTATCTAAATTTACACAAAAATACATATATACTCTTACGATACAGCTATTACGCCGCATTAACGTCAAAAGATGTTAAGCGCCATACACAGATATTGATTTATGTAGCAGTGTGCAGGGTTACCATTCTCGCGAGCATAAGCGCTACATGTCAGCTTACCGCTTCTAATACTGCTAACCCTCACGTCACTGTTGACATCACTATGAAGGTGTAAATTGATTGATTGATATGTGAGTTTTATTGTTCCAAAGCCACCATATAATTATGCGAGACGTCGTAGTGGAGGACTTCGGAAATTTGACCACCTGGGGTTCTTTAACGTGCACCCAAATCTGAGCACACAAGCCTAAAGCATTTCCGCCTCCATCAGGAATGCAGCCGCTGCCGCCGGGATTCGATCCCGTGACCTGCGGGTCAGCAGCCGAGTACCTTAGCCACTAGACCACCGTGACGGGGCAATGCAGGTGTAAACAACTGGTTATGTAATATGCACATGACGGCCCAAAATATGCCTGCGCGTAGAGAATTTGTACGTATATTTAGCGCTATTGCGTTACGTTTTGCTAATTGCAACATAGTCAGCTTCCTTCCGCATGTTTTGCATAACTTCTGCTCCCAAAATACGTGGTACCTGCGGTTTTTTAGGGGCGAAGCTCCTTAAGGCGTCACCCGTTCGTCCCTATGGTCGTTTGTAACCCCTGCTCGTTGAGTCTCTAAACCGGCCTTAGATGGCACTCCTTGTACCATATAACGATTGCATATACGCTGAGAAACGCAAACTCGTCCCACACTATGTGGCGTTTTGTGGCAAAAGATAATTATAAAAGGCGAGCTTTGTGAAAACAGGATTTACGACACACACTGGCGTCTCTCATAATCATATAGTGGTTTTGGGACGTTAAACCCCACATATTAATTAATTTACGACACACGTACAGAACGAGAGGAAGACGTTCGTGCCTCCTCGATCACGTGTTCTTCGGCGGTGCTGTGTTGGCGCGCATGCCAACACCGGCTCGTCGACGGTGGATAGACAAGGCTGCCGAGCGGCGTGCGTGCAGGGCGGTGGCGGCTCGCGCTCAAAGAAGCGATTCCACCGTTTGGGCGCGCGAGGCCGAAGCTAGCCGTGATTCTGCGCGGCGGCGCTGCGAGGACCCTGCAGTACGAGCGGAGGAGGCCGAAGCTGCGCGGCGGAGCCGCGACGACCCTGAAGTACGAGCTTCACCCACTCTCTATCGTTCACGACGTGGATATGCTGTAATTTTTAACTTGTATGTGTCTATTTCTGCGTCCACGCACGGTGAGAAAGACATGCACAATTGAACCTGGAGTATCGCCAGCCCCTCTCCTACGAAAAAACGAACAAAATCTTTGGCTGCTTCATTGGTTTCACTTTCTGTTGGTTCCACGGTATGACATTTCGTTTTTTTCTAAAGGAAGGTGTAGACATCCACCATCAAATTTGATGTTTAATAAAGTTTCACCTAATAAGGTGCAATCGTAGCAGCCTCTAGCAGCCGCAGTGTGACAAGAAAATCTAAGAAAATAGTTCATTAACGGACTCGCAAATCTACGCGAGGTCTTTAAGGAAGTCTAAAAAACACAAAATTGATGTAGACGAAGTGATTGGTGGTAACAATTTATTCAACAGCCCCTGCTTGAATATGCTTGTGATTACGTAATTCTAAAGAGATAAAATGTCAAAAGTTAATTCGCAAAACACAACTTTCTAGAATTATTGCATTGGAAAATATCAAGCACTCAGAAACGCACGGGGTGTGTTACATCGTTCGTCTTTCTGTACTCCGGCCTTTAAGTCAGGAGAATTGAGTTACGATGCAAGAACATGTTATCTGGTAAACAAAAAGCCTAAAAAGTATTTTGGAATGGATTGGGTGCAGAAAGTTATGTTTGATGAATTAAATCCCAATATTTACACTTAAATACGCTGGGCACATTGTAAAGTTGAATCTCTTTAAGAAGAGTGGAATCTAGCTGAACCATAATTAAAATAAAACTTTACTTCAAAAATAGTACGTTAGACCATCCATGTGATCTCGGTATCATGAAGGTGTAGATCAGGGAATAAACCTCAAATTACTGTTGATAATTTTGATCACTATAATAATGTGGAATTGATGAATAATACCCCAAATTAGCATCATTATGACGTGAATGTGTCAAAGACGAAGTGTAAAAAGAATATGGATTCAGTGAGGGCATACTTTGAGCGGTGTTTTTGTCTCTAAATATATCTGGGTACGGTATGAACGATGGGTGAGAATTCGAAGGATACTCTAGAGGTACGGGTGGAGGAAGTGTTGGTAGAGATGTTGGTGTTGCGCCCACAGCGGCTTCAGGAGTGGCAGCAGCGGTATTTGACGCTACACTAAGAGTACTTGTTCCAGCCCCACCTATAACGCCAGGAATGCCAGTAGCTCTACCAGAGGATACAGTGAGCATTCGTTTCCCAGTGACAGCAGTGGCTTCAGAAGTGCCAGCAACGCCACTTGGAGGTACATTGAGCATACTTGATCCAGCACCGGGAACGGGTGGAGTACTGCCACCTGCAACACTTGTCGGCGAAGTTACTGTGCTTGTTGAAGTACCGGCAACGGCTCCGTTACTGTGAGCAGTGCCATTTGATGGTTCATGGAACATGCTTGTTCCGGCACGGGAAAAAGATTCAAGACTGCCAGTAGCACCACTTGTCGAAGCAGTGAGTGTGCTTGTGTCACTACCACCAGAGATGTCATGGCTGCCAGTAGTACTACTCGATGGTTCACTGAGTTTACTTGTTTTAGCATCAGAAATGGAAACGGCTGTTGCAGTGCCAACAGCGCCACTTGTAGGAGCAGTGCTCGTGCTTGCTGGAGCACCGCCAGCGGCTCTATGACTGCCAGCAGAGCTACTTGTTGTTTCACTGATTGTACTTGTGCCAGCACCAAACACGGCTTCAAGAGTGCCAGCAGCGCCACTTGTTGAGGCAGTGAGCGTGCTTGTTGCAACACCAGACACAGCTTCAGTAGTTCCGACAGTGCCACTTGTAGAGGCGATGAGCGTACTTGGTGCAGCACTGACATTGGCTCCATAACTGCCAGCAGCGACCCTGGATGGTTGGCTTATTGTAGTTTTTCCAGCACCTGAAACGGTTCCAGTAATACTAACACCACCACTCACCGGGAAAGTGACAGTACTTGTTGTAGCATCGGTAACAGCTGCACGACTACCAGTAGCGCCACTTGATGCCTCACTGAACGTACTTGTTCCAGCACCAGAAACAGCTCCAGTAATACCAGCCGCACCACTCGTCAGGGCAGGGAGCGTACTTGCTGTAGCACCGGCAACAACTTCATCAGTGCCAGTAGTGCCCCTTGATGGCTCAGTGAGCCTACTTGTTCCAGCACGGGAACTGGCTCCAGTAATGCCAGCAGCACCATTCGTCGGGAGAGTGGTCGTACCTGCAGCGCTGACAATGACTTCACGACTGCCAGTAGCACCGGCAGCGGCTCCAGGAGCGCCAGCCGAGCCACTTTTCGGGGTAGTGAGCATACTCGTTAGAGCGCCGGAAACGGCTTCAGAAGTACCAGTACCATCACTTGCCGGTACAGTGATCACATTTGTTGTGGCACCGCCATCAACTTCATGACTCCCACCAGTGCTACTTTTCGTGGTAGTTAGCATACTCGTTAGAACGCCAGAAATGGCTCCAGAAGCACCAATGCCACCACTTGATGGGACACTGGTCGTATTAATTGCAGTACCGCCAACAACTCTATGACTGCCAGCCGAGCCACTTGTAGAGGTAGCGAGCGTACTCGTTAGAGTGCCGGAAACGGCTCCAGAAGTACCAGTACCACCACTTGCTGGGAGACTGAACGTATTCGTTGCGGCACCGCCATCAACTCCATTACTGCCAGCAGTGCCACTTGTCGAGGTAGTGAGGGTACTTGTTGCAACACCAGACACAGCTTCAGTAGTGCTGACAATGCCCCTTGTAGAGGCGATGAGCGTACTTGTCGAAGCACTAGCATTGGCTCCATAACTGCCAGCAGCGACCCTGGGTGGTTGGCTCATTGTACTTTTTTCAGCCCCTGAAACGGTTCTAGTAATACTAACGCCACCACTCGCCGGGGCAGTGAGCGTACTTGTAGCATCGGTAACAGGTGCATGACTGCCAGTAGCGCCACTTGATGCCTTACTGAACGTACTTGTTCCTGCACCAGAAACAGCTCCAGTAATACCAGCCACACCACTCACCGGGGCGGTGGGCGTACTTGCTGTAGCACCGGCGACGAATTCATCAGTGCCAGCAGTACCCCTTGATGGCTTAGTGAGCCTACTTGTTCCAACACCGGAATTTGCTGCAGTAATGGCAGCAGCGCTATTCGTCGGGAGAGTGATCGTACTTGCAGCGCTGGCAGTGACTTCACGACTGCCAGTAGCACCGTCAGCGGCCCCAGGAGCGCCAGCTGATCCACTTTTTTGGGTAGTAAGCGTACTGGTTAGAGTGCCGGAAATGGCTCCAGAAGTACCACTGCCACCAGTTGCCGGGACACTTATATTTGTTGCAGCACCACCACCAACTTCATGACTCCCGGCAGTGCCACTTTTCGAGGTAGTGAGCGTACTCGTTAGAGCACCGGCAATGGCTCCAGAAGCACCAGTACCACCACTTGCCGGGACACTGATCGTATTCATTGCAGTACCGCCATCGACTCCATGACTGCCAGCCGAGTCACTTGTCGGTGTAGTGAGCGTGCTCATTATAGCACCGGGACTGGCTCCAGAATTACCTGTACCACCACTTGCCGGGACAGTGATAGTAATCGTTGAGGCACCGTCACCAACTCCACGACTTCCAGCAGTGCCATTTGTCGAAGTAGTGAGCGTACTCTTTAGATCATCGGAAATGACTCCAGAAGTGCCAGAACCACCGCTTGGCAGGACACTGATCGCATTCTTTTCGGCACTGCCACCAACTTTATCACTGCCAGCCGAGCCACTTGTCGGTGTAGTGAGCGTACTCGTTAGAGCGCTGGAAATGGCTCCAGAAGTACCAGCAGCACCACTTGCCGAGACAGTGATCGTATTCGCTGAGGCACGGCCACCAACTCCATCACTGCTAGCAGTGCCGCTTGTCGAGGCAGTGAGCGCAGTTGGTGCAGCACCACCAATGGCGCCTAAACTGCCAGCACTGCTCCATGATGGTTCAGTGAGTGTACTTGTTTCACCACCGGAAACAGCTCCTGGCGTTGCAGATGTAAACGTTTTCTTCCAAGTTACGCCAACGGGTAACCCTCCAGTGCCTGAAATAACGCTTGAGGGTGAACCCTCGGAGTCACTTCCTCTAGCTGGCGTGACATCCTGTACGCCATTAGGCAAAGCTGTTCTCACAGGCTGTTCCAAGGAGTGAGCTGTATTATTAGAAGGTACTAGAAGAAGATTTTGTCCAGCACTATGATTAGTTTTTTTAGACGTAAGGCGGGAACATATTTCCTGTAGAATGCACGCTTTCTTTCCTCCTCGCTCAAGTTCAACGTACCCCACATCGCAGACGCAGGCACCTCTGCTATCACATTTAGTGTCACATGTCTTGGGAGGGCGTTGACCACATTTGGGAAGGCAATTTGAAACGCACGACTTGAAACTTGAGTTTTCTGGGCATTTTCGATGACAATTACTGATCTTCATGCACAACTTGGGGAACTTCGGGTTGCTGTAAAAGAAAAAGACAAACATTGATTGTTATTGGCATAAATGAAGGCCTTAGGTCTACCATAATTAATAATTCATCATCTCTCGACGTAATTAAGAGGTATAAAAAACTTCTTGGTCCTGCATCTCGTGTAGACGATTCAAAGCAAAGAAAATAGCTTTACGAATATTCAAACGAAACAGTTCAATCAAAATAGGTGCTGAATTCAGGTCCTCATACAAGAGCGAGAATGCAACAAGTTCTTGCTCAGTGACCGTTGGTCTGACTACTTTTGAAGCGGAACAACGATCTCTCTCCCATGTCGGTAAATACAGGAGCAGTTGGCTTGGCTATATATATATATATATATACATATATACATATATATACATATATATATATATATATATACATATATATATATATATATATATATATATATATATATATATATATATATATATATATATATATATATGACGCTATGATGAATGGGAGACGTGGCCTGGCTCATACGCCATGTTTATTCTATTCTGCACTTCTTTTTTCTCGACCTCTACTAACCATCACTTGATACGTCACACGATTCACCCTCCCCCCGAAAGAAGGCATGGATTGCGCACAACAAAAAGTAAACAAGTAGAGGTTGAGAAGTCACAAATGTCAAAATGCACAATTGGTTTCATGGCGCCGTGCTGTTCCGTAAACTCGCAAAACTTCAGAAAAGAGTGCAGCAGCCCGGTAAATGGAGGAGTTCGGGTGGGCGAGGTTGGCTGTGGCGTTCTGGAGAAGGTAGCCGCGTCTTGCAAAACTGCACTGACCATGACGTGACTCTAGCACCTGCGAGCAACGAACAAGGTTGGAAGTCCTTGGAGCATTTTAAGGTCGAATGTCGTAGGCGCAGAATCGTCTGTCGTACGCGCTGTATTCTGTGTCGCGGCTGAGACAGAATTAGTGCTTGCAGCCTGCGTGTACAAGAACAGAAGTCCAATGAATTATGTCTATGTTCGTGCATTGTACAAATTATAGCGTTCAGTCTCTTTTGTAGTTTTCTGTGGCCTTGGCTCCGTTGTCGTGAACTAATGGGATGGTGTCTGAATCTTTGCGTGGTAGAACTGGTGACTTCTTGTCTTGTTCGGTGTTTCCTGAGGTTTCGGAGATGTAATCTTAGGCGCAGTCTTGATATTTTGTGCCAAATGCGTTTCTGGCGCCCATCCTTTATGCAAATATGCCTGACGTCTTGAATTTGTTTTAAGAGGCTGACTTTGCGTCGTCGTCCTTGCCGGTGTATCCGTTGGAGTGTCTGCGATTCTTGGACTTGCTTTTGCTGGCGTTGCTGATGTTGCTGTGGAACGCATTGCGGTGAGATCCCTTCTTGAACATCGCGTTCGTTTTCTTCACAACTTGATGTGGGGCCCAGTCGGCAGCTGGGAGTTTGTGGGCTGTTGTCATGCACTTCGGGCAATGAAGATAATGCTTCAGAATTGGTAGAAAGTTCTTCAGAAGCTTCTTCTACCCTGTTCACTGTAAGAGGCTCTTGCGCATTGCAGCGTGCGACGTTTGATGCGTTGGAGTCTTCGGTGTTTCTTCCACTGTCGAGTGTGTATGGACTGGATGGCGATGCATGAACCCGTGTGGAAGGAGCATGGCTCGACAGGGTACTTTCCCGATTCGCCAGGTCATCTACCATAAATACGGCGTCCTTATAAGGCAAACGGTGAGCGTTAGGAGCGCTTGAAGAACCGCGTGATGAAAACCCAGGTGGTGGACCACGTATGCCAGACGAATAGTGAACGGCATCAGGTGGTTGGGAAACGTCTCGGGTCATATGCTGAAGCAATGACTTCGCAAATGCCGACTTTCGTGCAGAAGGGAGGTGCGCTCGATGGCTGTGTTTTTCTCAAAATATGCGTTGTCGTCTGCCACTGAACTCGTGTGTCACTTCGTCTTTTGTCAGAGGTCGAATCTTGTTGTGCGTTCGAATGGTTGAAGACTGCCTGTAAAATTGACGACTGAGTGCAGTTGTCTGTGGATGGTGGGTTACAAGCAAGTCTTCGTCGTAGTCGTCATCGTATTTTTTAAACCAAACGATCATTTCTTGTTTTATCTTTTGCCAAGACTCATCGTTGTCGAATATGTGGATGAGGTAAAATTTAAATGCCTCACCGGTGACGTAGTCGCTGAAGTTCGTAACCATTTCCCGTTCCGACCAAGATGCAGCAGTAGCGTGGAACTCGAACGGGTCGAACCAGTCCTGTACAGGTCCATCGTCCACTGCTCCGGTGTACTTGGGGATGGGAAGGTTGGTCGATGATTCTGTCATGGTGCTGGTCGCTGTGTGCGGCTAGGAGATGATTCCGTAGTCGATGTATGGTCAGGGTGTCTTGTGTAGAACTGCGTCGATGATGAGACACTGATGAAGTGGCTGGGAGGTCTTCATCCTGCCGACTCTCGTGTGACGCTATGATGAATGGGAGACGTGGCCTGGCTCATACGCCATGTTTATTCTATGCTACACTTCTTCCTTCTCGACCTCTACTAACCATCACTTGATACGTCATATATATATATATATATATATATATATATATATATATATATATATATATATATATATATATATATATATATATATATATATATATATATATATATATATAGAGAGAGAGAGAGAGAGAGAGAGAGAGAGAGAGAGAGTGAAAATCGGACCCAAGTATTCTCTGTGGCAATTAAACCTTTAACCACAGAGCGACGCCAGGCATCGGAGGCGCTTTTTATTTAAACAGACCTTAATCTTTGTGAAACATCAGTTGTGCTTGCAGTGGTGGTATCTGATTTTATAAAATTATTTTGATATAACCATCACGCCGGGTCAACATCCATTGTAGTTAGGCGCCGTGCGCAGGAGTTGCGTTATGTAGCAGTGACGAGGGCTACCATTCTCGCGAGCACCAGCGCTTCATATCAGCTTATCGCTTCTCGTGTTGCTAATACTAATGTTCCTGTTGGCGTCGTTGCGCAAGTGCGAACAGCTTGTTGTATGAACATCTGCAACTCTTCAACATATGCCCATGCGTGCCACACTTATACATATTTTAACATCGTTTTTTGACGTGTCGCCCAATAAAGAAAGTAAAAACACGGTCACCTTCCCTCCGCATGCTTCACATAACGCAGATTACCAGGTTAATCGGGTCTGTTGATTTTTTTGTAATAGGTGTAATATTTCTCAATAACTTTGCATTCATAAACAGGCTGGTAAAAACTAAGGGCATTTGGTTTACGGCGTAATTTAAAAGTGAATATCTCATTGAAGGCGACATCAGGTTGAGATTCGGGTAGCACTGGTGCACTAGTGAGAAGTGGTGTAACAATTAGGCTCCTTGCTGTGCGGCGCTCCGAATTTTGTGTAGTTTTGCGTCATAATCAGCGGCACGTGTAATTGAACTATTTAGTCTTTTTTTTAACATGACATTGAAAGTCAGTGGTCTGTAGTAACTAATACATGGGTAGAAGACTCTGCTTCTTGCAACATGTGATGTCACACACTCCGTGGCAAAGTAGCGGTCGTCAGAGGCGAGCGGATCTTACAGCCAGTGACACCTAAATCTTGCACTACACCGAAACACTCACTCACTGTAACCTACTGTGTATGTATAGGCACAACAAACCTCTACTTATATCTGTCGCACTACACAATTAGTTGGCCGGCCATGTGAACGTTCGAGAGCAGGCAGAAAAGAATAACTTTATTTATGTGGGTTTGGGACTAGAGGACAAGAGCTTGATGGGTCGGACCTCAAGTCGAGGACTCCAGTGGCTACTGCCGCCTCCGGACATGATGCAGGAGCACAGGCTGCAGCACTGGGTCAGAGCTGGTGAGCTGTGCCTCCCATTGCTCGGGAATGCTGTATATCCCCTAATGACTTAAAACACATTTCAATTTCGATAAATTCCGGAGAAAATCAACGAGGAGGATGATGACACATCCAAAATGGCCCCTCATGAAATTATTGTGAAAAGACTATTGTGGAAGTGTATGTGACAGATGTCATGTACGTTACTCTTGTATTTTCACGAGGTAAAAAGAAAAACGAAGTTAGGAACTGCCCATCAACGCCCGAAAGTTTCCAAACATTCAAAAAGGTGCTGCAGAAAATTTCTGCTCTCCGGAAACTGTGGGGTGAGGAGACAATTTAGACCTACATTTCAAGGTCATAGTGTACTTACGTGACATAGCCGGGAGGGCAATCACAGCCTGCTGTACACGGCTTACTGCATGGGGAGCCGAAAGGAGTTTCGCATGTTTTCGGACATCCGGGCATGCATGTGCGATAGTCTCTTTGCCATTGGAACTTGCATGGTATGCACTTCATGCGTGGAACACATTCGTCCCAGGAGTTCCGAAGGTAACCCCGCTTGCAAAGGCAAGTACGCAGCTTCTGCCGCAGTGAAGTTGGTGCGAAGAGGGGCCTACAGAAATAGTCTTGCTGTGGTTTACCTTTTACGGGAACTTCCAGGGGACCACAGGTAAAAGGGCTACATCCTCCGGATTCTGTAATTGCAAACATTTCAGACGCTTCATATGCACTCCTAGAGAAATAAAAAAACAGGAAAAAATAGGCAACAGTGGTGGCCTCGCGATAAGGTGTTATGCAGTATCCAAAAATTTTACCCGCTACTTTGACTTCCTTCAAGAACCACCCGTCAATTAGGGCAAACTTTAATGAGAGATCTCGTCACGCCGCTTGATTTCTAAGCTGCAATGTCAGTTATCAATGGGTCACTAGTACATCTGAACAAATATTGTCTTACATGCTGGCCCACTTCCTGACACGCGTAAAACAACTACATATGCGTGAAGTACGTTAATAACCTTGAACTTTGATTGCATAAATAATAAAACAGATGGTTTATTACAGCATGCATGTGTGCAGAGAATTCTCAACTGTAAGATAATCAAGCCTAGTAACAATATTTATTGTGACAAAGCTTCTATAATACGTCAAACTACACCCATGAGTTATTCAACTCCAGAACGTCACCGGATAAATCATTAATTACCGATTAACATCTGTCAGCAGTCGTAGTGCCTCAGTGTCGACAAAGTACTGATGATTGTATACGTTGCAAACTATGCATATGTTAACAGAAAAAGTACTGATAGCCTGCTTCTTTGTTCTCTGCCACATGACCGATGTTCGCGAAATCATTCTAATGAACTCTGCGACGGACTGGTATGAAGTGTCACACAGTCACTCCCATATTTTTACTTTACATTTAAAAAATTCAGCAGTAGTCATCAAAGGATAATATTTGGCAAGTGGTGTGAGCACTATGCATTTTTAAGGGAAATCAGTGCTTGTAGCTTAAACTTTAGCTGTTATGATGTGTTCGCATTGTTTTCTACTTTCTGTTTTGATATTCAGAGGCTTGTTCACATCGCTAGAAGGGGGCTTTAAGCAAGTGTGAGACCGCTGCAATGCCTCGCTAAAGATGTCTATTTGCCCGCAGGGTACCTGATGCTTGTTTTAGTACAAATATTTTTGTTGTTACTCGACTTCGATTTCACTCTATAGTACTTGACTAAGTTGCCAGTTATGATGGTTCTCGACGCAAAGAATGAATTCATTTGTGGTGTTTTAAACACTCACTTACTTAATCACTAATTTTGCACCATGGACTGCTCTTCGCAAGATATCACGTGTCTTGCATAGCACCGTCATCTGCTCAAGCAACCATGCCAGTATTGTATTTTCGATGAGCCAACGTACTCCCCAATGTTTATTAGAGAAACATTACCAAGAATCTAAACGAACGGCCCAAAATAACATTCCATAGGAGTAAAAATAGAACAATGCGTAGTCGACAGCTTTCGTCCAGCCACTGAATGCTTCAAAATATTGGACTATAGGAATGTTGCCTTTAATATATGAGGCTTTAATAGGTACATATTTGCTTTATAAGGCTTAACCTAGAAGTTGCGACGCAGAGTTGCGTCATCTTTTGGTGTCATTCACCTCATATTGCATGCAGAGCCTCTCAAGGTACGTCCGAGGAAATGCTACTTACTTGTACAATTGAAGTCTCCACTCACGACCACAAGACAAATCGCTACCAGGACTGCCGCAAAGCAGTGCATATTGTTGACTAAAAGAACAAGCACGGAATAACTTACGGCGGGGCTTGCTGGGCATCGTGGAGCCGCTACCTTTGTAATAAAAGGTGTTTTCTAAAGTACTACCTATTGTTCAAACCGGCAAGTGTCACTAGATATCTTTAGAGCGAGTTTTACGAAGGTATATTTGGCACTGATACCCCATATTGCCTTAGAGCCAGGTCTATGCAAACATTTTATGTTAGGAAAAGGCGCATGCTTTATGTTCCTATTGTTCCTGACTGTGGCTTTGTTATAGGCGCGAGTGTGCCATCCTTGTTAGCCGAAAGCGGTTGAAAATAAAGGGTAGGTAAACTGCATTAAAAAAACTTGTATTGTTCATATAATGTCTGTGAAGGCCACAGGTCTGCTATACCCTAGTGAAACTCAATTAGTTTATATGTATCTTGGGTGATTACATATTTTAGACGGAGCAGAGATGATATGAGGGAACATCGTTTGTAACGCAAAAGATGTTCCTGCTCGCTGGAGTTCTGTGACACCACGTTGCTAACAAATTGTTGATAACAGACACCAGAGAGATAAGCAGCACCTTTGTCATCCTAGCTGAAAAGGAGGAATGAATAAGCGTGGCCCCGTTACATTTAATGTAGGCAGAAATTAAACTTCTAGAAAGCGGCTCCCGCTGATATCCAAAAAATCTGTCTGTGCTTACGATGGCATATGCCATAAGCGTGGGCTCTGCCGCGGTGGTCTAGTGGCTAAGGTACTCGGCTGCTGATTCTCAGGCCGCGGGATGGAATCCCGGCTGCGGTGGCTGCATTCCCGATGGAGGCGGAAATGTTCTAGGACCGTGTGCTCAGATTCGCGTGCACGTTAAAGAACCCCATATGGTCGAAAATTCCGGAGCCCTCCATTACTGCGTCTCTCATAACCATTTGATGGTTTTGGGACGTTAAACGCCTCAAATCAATCGATCAGCCGTATTCGTGCATCATCTTTGTTCACATTAGGTATATTGTGCTATGTCCTGTTCTTTCCCCGTACATAATGTCTGACTGTTAACCTACATTTAACACTTCACGGGATGTGAATAAATGAGTTCTGAAAACATGTTTGAGGCCTCCAAGGTCACAAACGTGGTGGAAGCAATTTTTTTTACATTGATGCAAATTATTTCAAAATAAAGACGTACACGACTTTTATATACAACATGAATGCCATTTTTTATGATGACACAAAGGTTAGAGCAGTTTAGCCTAATCGTCCAATTGCCCTTTTTTTCGCAAGTTTCGCAATATCTAGTATCCTAATACTTTCTTGCATGATGAGTGAATGGTCCGCTGCAAGAGCAACAAATTCCTGGGTCAGGCTTTTGTTTGGCATGGTAGAGAATGTCAAACTACTTTACGCCCTTACGGGGGTTTTAACTCCTCTCTCACTAATCCCGTCACATCTAAGGAAAAAGGTGTTTCCAGGAATCGAACACCAATATCAGAGGAGAGGAACGGCCCACCGCAAAAACAATCTTCTCACTCAAAAGGAATGTAAGATGTACCCTTACGTTCGGGCACCTCTAAACGATGACATCGGCACAATAAGTGCGCCTACGCGCCCAACCATGCACATAACCCGCGGCATATTATAAAATACACCACAGATGCACTGCTCACGCTACACATAATCAGCTTTACACTCCACAACAAACATGACATATCAGCAATACTTCAGAGGAGCCACGCGCAAAGGTTGAACGACGGCAAAATGCAGACTACCAATTGCAGCGTCGCAAGTGGCTTGCGCCTGTTCGGGCTTCACTTTTCGAATTTCGTTCTAACGACCCCCCTGTTCCAGTGCACTCTATCCTAAGGGTTCGGTTATAATCCATTTATTCCGACATGCACAGGATTGATAGTTATGTTTCTTCACGTCATGCCGGCGACGCTACGCCAGGTGTTAGCTGAGCTCCCCTACTGTCGAACTGGTTCCAACGCGAAAATGTTATGATTGCTTGAGGAGCGCAGGCGCAGCAACGTGCCATGCCGCCAGTTCTGAATCAACAATATAGCCCACGATATGTACTTCTACATGCGATTCCGGAGAGGCGACGTGTGCCCGGCGCGAAATTCATAAGAGCCATTCAGAGATAACGACATCCAATCGCGCCAGGAGCGTCCACCACGTCGACGGTCAGGCGCACCTGGATTACAGAGGGCTACGTTTTACAGACGTGACGTGCACGCACGTGTGAATTTGTTACACTGGAAGTATATCAGTAGGTAGATGCAATAAAGCATAATTCAGCTGAACCAGGTTACTAGCTGGGAACAACTTTCAATGCCTCGCAGAATATATAAAAACAACAAGCATCATCTCCAAATGATTAGCACAACTGAGCATCATCTGACTGAAATTAGAAAATTCAACTACAATACCAAAAAACTTAGCAACACTAACTTTGTGGACACCCTAACCGCCTAGATACCAATCAGCTCCACTGCATTTTTCCGCTGCCATATTGTGCGGGCAGCGCATGCCTTTTTATTCGAATTAATCATCCCCACGTCTTCCTTCTGGTGCTTGTTTGATCAAGTAAATTTCCTAATTTTCAAAATAATCGGGGACATTGATCTCCGTGTGGAACATTGCATTTCTATCAGAGTGACCTCGACGATAAATCAGAAACAAACACCTTTGGGATATGTCAGTGGCTTTCATTACGCTGTTTTATAAGTATGTTCGTGAATGAACATCTGTAATTCAGCGACAGTGGCACCCACTGGATTTTCAGCACTGAGGCACGTACGTTCGAGGTTGTGTTTTGGAACAATTGTTTTTGCTCACGCACACCGATCTGTGCACACCGTGTATTTATACATTACTAAAACACATGTCACGGAGTTCTTTATTTATGAAATTGGCCGCATTCTCCAAGTTTAAGTCCTCTTCAGACCTAATGATTATATGTGGGATTTAACATCCCAAAACCACCATATGATTATGAGAGACGCCGTAGCGGAGGGCTCCGGAAATTCTTTCCACCAGGGATTCTTTAACGTGCCGGCAAATCTGAACACATGGGCCTACAGCATTTTCGCCTCCATCGAAAATGCAGCCGCTGCAGGCGGGATTCGTTCCTGTGACCTGCAGGTCAGTAGCCAAGTACCTCAGCCACTAGACCACCGCGGCGGGGCCCTCTTCAGATCTACCTGAATGTTGTGCCACTAAGGGCATCATCACGTCGTGGTCGATACATTGTAGCCTTTGTCACTTTTCAAGAGGAATATTAGAGGTAATAATAGTGGTTTTTATTAAAACACAATTACTGTTTGATGTGATGCGTTTCTGATGAAGACCTAATAACATTTCTTTGTTCAGCTTTTGACAGCTGTCCTGGTGCTTATATGGCCGACATTGCACCGTGACCATAGACCATCACGCTGTTTGCTGGTTTGGAACACTCAAAGATTAAACAGGACGCCAAGCTCTTTGGGCTCTCCGTCTCCAGGAATTCACGTATGCTGCGTTGTACCAGTGCAGCTGTTTTCTCAAAGTACCGATTGCCCATCTTCGTACCCCGTGAACGCTCCAGATGTCGCAACGGACGACACGCCTGTGTAGTCACACCCTCACGCTCCACTTTCAGCAACGATGCTGATGAGAAACGGCGTGACGCCTCTCTTCGCGATCTAGTTAACCACCTGAAGGGCCACCTGAGGAACAGCTCGCACCAAGTTTTCGTCATATAGACGGCATTTTATACCGCCGGAAAATACTTCCCGTGAGACAGGAGCTACTTTTTGTAGTACTCGTTCTTTTGTGGCTGCCTTTGCTACAGCAACTGCTTGATGTACCGACGACCGGCGACCCTGGCGCTGCCAGGCCATACGACTGCGTTAGTTGGCGCTTTTTATGGTCCAGACGCTATCTTTCGATACATCTTCCCGTTTATTATTGGCAAACATGTCAATGCCGTGGAAAACCAACTTCACACCCTGCCGCACTCCTTCAACCTATTGACAAACCCGCCAAGCCTTTATTTGGTATCGGCCTCAACCTTGTCAGTCTCTCCCATCTTTCTAACAAAGAAAACAGGTGAATCGCTGTTACAACAGATTATTTACCCGATTTGCTATCATGGAACCTCTACCGAGCAGTTTATTTATTTATTTATTTATTTATTTATTTATTTATTTCATAATACCCCTGAAGGCCCCCGAAGAGGTATTACATAGGGGAACGGACACATGAAACATATCTTTGTACGCCTCCACAATGTAAAAACAAGATTATACAAAATAATGAAAGCGAGCTAAATACAAAAAACAACAACAACAACAAAAACCAGATACTTTGAAAAAAGCAAGAAAAATTCTGTAGAAAAAAGAAAAGTATCTGTAGTTGCGCTACAGATATAACTAAATTCTTCATGCAAGAGGTCATTGTGCCCCACGCCGTGCTTCGACAATTTGTCTGAGGCAGAGGGGGGTAGTTCTTATCTAATATCATCGATAAGAACAAAAAGACAAGCTCACCATGGCTCACTATTTCCAGACAAACAGCCTCACGGAGCGTTTGAACCGCATGATAACTGACATGCTCTACATGCTTGTTTTGACTAATATTTGCAACTTGGACACTGCGTTACCTTTTATCACTTCTGCACCCAACACCTTGCGCCACGACACTGCTGGATATTCTCATTTTTTTATCTTCTCAGTAGAGGATAACCGACCTTGCTATTTTGCAAGCTCGTGTCGAGCCATGCGAGCAATTCGAGAGCGTATGACTATTATGCTACCGCCACGGCTGAATAGGCATGTCAGATGGGCAATCGCCGCCTTGCCGACTCACGATTTTGCCCGTAATAGACGACTGGCATCACTGGAACTTTAACTTTTATTCGGGTTACTTTGTCCTCCTGTAGTCTCCTTCTCGACATGTCGGCCAGTTCGAAAAGTTTTTCTCTAAGTACTCTTGCCCCTTCCCTGTGCTACGCCATGTGACCGACTTTATGTGTGAAAAAGCGCCTCATGGCCCTGCTGCGTCTTCTGCATCTTCAAACTTCACTGTCGCTTACGGGAAGCCACGTATTTCATCGCACACCAAACACTGGGTCAGCGCATTGGCAGCCGCGAGTGGAGGGTGGGGGCGCGAGGGCTGGTAAACAACCCCCATATTCACTTTTAACCAATTTGTCACTGCGAAAATGTTACAAATATACTCGTATCAATATAATAAATGCTTCCTTCTCAAATGTTGTTATTGTCTGAAAAGTGTTTATTTTTCCGAGCAAATGCTCATTGGGCGCACTGGTGTCACTCTAGAAAAATGCGCCGCAGATGGGTGTGATTGCGTCTGGTATATGCCCGAAGTTATGTACATATCATTTATCTATGGCGCAATTTTATTCCACGCGAATAATACTATCAACGTAATGCGTGTTCAATAGTGTTCTTTAGCGCAAGTGTATTCAATAACCCTTGGCATCAACTGTTTGAACTCAATGATATCAGTAACTACACTACCCAATCCAAATTATTGTGCTAAGGACAATGTTGGGGGCTCCAACACCCTGTCCCCATGGCTATCTGATCCGATTTTTTCGTTGTTCCTATCTGTATGCTCTAAAAACGCTATGATGACCTACCATAATTACAAGAGACAGAGCTCCAGGGCTTGTCGCAGTTTCAATCAAGAAAGATTGTACGGGATATTAGAGCCCATGTTTCTGGTCTAAGTGTGATTGCAAGCTACCTTTTTCTTGCTGAGTCACTGAGAGCCCGTAATATAGTTTCGGCCCCTACAGGCATGGAGTCACTTGGCATAGCGTCATAACGATTAATCGCTTCTCTTGTATTAGTGAGTTCAGAGAAATACGGTGTAGTACTACTCGATTGGTGACCTAACAAAGCTAATATATTTTTGAGTTCTGTTCCCGAAGAAACAGTTGGTATTACATCTAGGTCTGTTGTACCACTGATAGATGCAGAGATGCCCCTGGGGGATCCTGTCGGGGTACCTGCTATGCTTTCTGTTAGAAGAGGGCTTGCGGTACCAGAGGTGGGTATAGTTGTTGGATTGCTTACTGCTGCAACTTCCCCTGTGCTTACCCTTACTCCAGTAAGGCTTCCTGATGTAGGTATTGCACCACTGGGCCCAGGAGCACTTGTCGTAATTGTCGAGCTGGAGTTTTCACTTCTCACAGCGCCTGGAGACAGCTCTTCCCGATTAGTGCTACTGCTTACAGGCACGACTCCTCTGGGTGCCATACTTCCTACGTGAATTCCTGATGCCGCGGATACCCTTGAAACTGAGGCAGCTCCTTCATTCATGGGCGGCAATATGTTTCCCGTAGGCGTTACTGGGAGGCCTTCTGACATCGCTCCTCTGCCACGAGAAAGATCCACAGTAGCAGAGGGGTTTGTGCCCATGAGGAGAAAAGTTCCTCTTAGATGCGTATTTGTACTTGAAGAAGTTTCACCTGCTGTGGACGTGGTAACTCTTGTTGGCGTATTTCTTGACAAATTTGTTGTGGCCACTGGGCTGTACAGATTTCTTGAGCCAGATTCGGGGACAATAGTGCCAAATTCTGCAGCGGTATTGCGGCTTGTACTTGAATCTGATGGTACACTAAGGCTAAGCCTGTTACGCTGTGCAGAAATGGGAGGCACCATAGTTGGTGAGCCAGTCAGTGTGATAGAGGTGGGACTTTCTCCTCTAACCACAGAAACAGTCACTGTAGGCATATTTACCGCAATGCCTGTTGATGTGGTCAGAGGTCGCAACGCATCATGTGTTGCCCCTGTTGCCACGGGCCTTCGTTGCGTCACACTACCACCTGGTAGTGCATTTGCTCTTACTGTACCATCAAAAGTAGAACGGGTTTCTCCAGAATTGATATTTCGTACTGAGTAGTGAGTGCTGCTGCCCAAATTAGGTCGACTTGGTGCCCCAGCAGCGTGAAGTATTGAACCTGAGGCAGCGGTACCAGCATTACCGGAAAAGATTCCACTACTATTGGAGTTTGCTTCTACATTAGCAGATGAAATGGTGGTACTTTCGGATGTATGCCCGCCAATAATCGGTCTAGGTACAACCATGCTGCGGCCTATATGTGCTAGACTGTCGCTCAGTGCACTATCTGAAGGTAATCCAACAGCAGCCGCGTGGAGCCGCGAGAACTCACTTCCACCAGTATTAACAGCAGTCCTTGGGCTACTCGCATGAATACTTTCTCGATTGCTTGTTGAGTGCGTAACTCCAATACTTCCTCCAACGTGGTCTGTCCCACCTGTGCTTCCTTCTCCTATTACAGAACCTGCACTTTCGGCCACGGGGACTATGATGTTACCTGCAGTATTAAGTGGACGAGGGACCTCGACACCTGTTCCGCCGACATTCGAGACATGTGTGTCGATTGGTTCACTCGAAGAACCTGGCTTTCGTATGACACCCTGTAGTTGGTTTACGAGTCTGGGGGATCCCGGACTTCTGCCTGTGGTAGAAATACTTGTAGTGCCAGATATGTGTGCTCTTACCTCTTCAGGCTGAAAGGTAAGACCTGTCATACTTCTGAAGCTCGGTGGCACTGTGCCAGTTGAGGTTGCCCGCAAGGTAGCCTCAGCAACTCTTGAGGGACCTGCTGTGCCTGGAACCATGCCATTCCTTAAGTTACTGCGAAAGATATTTCTTCCAGCAAGTTCGACAAAACTGCTGGCGGTACTGGCTAAGTCTTGGTGGATAGTGTTAGATGAAGTAGAAGCTGCCTCGGCAACTTCCGAGAAACCACCTGGGGCTGCCGACCCCGTGTTTCCTGGAATGATAAGATGGGTGTTTTCCCTTGCAGATTCGGTGTCAGTGGTGGGAATGGGAGGTATTCCTGTGGTGCCTGAGTTCAGCAGACCACCTGAGGGCACCCCGATGGTAGCTTTTCCAACTCCAGAGGAAGCAAGTGTCACTGTTGGCCTTGAATTCGGTAATCTACCAGCAATAACAGATGCCGTGACGCTCTCGACTACTCTTTCTGGGCTGCTGCGGGGTGCACTATTTGAGTGCGCCCCAGCTGTAGCCTCTTCAAACCCCGAGGAGCCACTTGCAACTGCAACCTCTGTGTTCCTTGATGTACCAATAAGGACATGTCTACCTGTACTTATTGGGTTCTCGAGTCGGGTATCGAGACCTGCGCTGCCTATTCGGCCTCCGCCTGATAACAGTGATTCGCTACCTCCACTCGAGGTAACCGCGCCATGACCTGAATTTTCACTTGAAGTGCCCAGTAGGTGTGTCGACGTAACATTAGTGGGGACCCTGGAAATAGTGAAACCATGGCCTGCGTGTTCTGGTTGTCCTGGAACACTTTCTGTGTCACTGATGAATGCCCCTGATGTTGCTGATCCCTCTATGGTGCCAGTGTGCTCAGTTGCGTTAGGACTAAACAGATGTGTAGTGCGATTATTCCAAGGACACAATGCCTGGAGCACGCAAGTCTTTTCCCCATTTTGCTCGTACTCAAGGTAGCCCTTTTTGCAAATACAGGCTCCTCTGTCGCAAATAACGTGGCACTTCGTGGGTGGCGTTTGACCGCACTTAGGCAGGCAAGTGGAAACACAGGCTTGGTAACTTGAATGAGGTGGACATCTCGGCAGACACTTGTGGGCTTTGACACACTTCCGGGGGTACTTTGGGTGCCTGCGTTGAAATAATGTCGATGTAATTCAAGTATGAGAGCTACCCATTCAACCCAGTCTATATAATCACACTATAGTTCAAAATTGATCTAACGGAGTGCTATGCCATCACAATTATTTCATTATTCTGAAAGTTTAGAGAATTGAAAGAGTGATCTACAGCTTTTCGAAATACAAAATCGCAACGTAGTGATAACAAAAAGCTACCGCGCTCCTGTTTTTGTCACAGTTTCTATGCTACGTCGTAGAAAAGCCCGTGAGGGCGGCCCTGACATGCAGCCCACATGTCACCCGTATAAAGGATTGAGGCATCATGACTGGACGATGAAAGTATGAAAGACGGCCACGTGAAGCAATTACGGGTGAACGATGTGATTAGATGTGCTGAAAGAATTAACAAATTCAGTGATCAGGCCAAAAGGGAAAGTTACAGGGAGACAATTAGTTTTATTCAATCACTAAATCAATCGCCACCACCTGTAGCTACGTTCGGTATGACCAGCCGTACCGAGTGCCATGTCCACGACTCCATGCATGGGCGCAGCGTGCCGCCTAGTCAACGTGAATCTATGAGCGTGATGAGGGTGGGTAGAGGTTTTATTGATATATTGTAAAATAAATGCATAAAACAGTCATCTAGGCAAAACTGGAAGTTACCATAGCCACCAATTTATACAAAGTTATTTCTGGAAAAACAAAGATAAATCACGTGAAATGTCTTAGCTCACTCATTTTTCTAAGGTGATTATAACGCTGACATATTGCGGCATTGTTGGGGAATCGAAATTTATTCATTGAGCCGAAAACGTTTGATCAAGTTTTGTCTGCGGTTTATTTGGAAGTTACAACTTAAAAAAAAAGATGCTTTTGTTTATTGCAGAAAAGGTTAGTCACGTCTAAAAATGCGTAAATTACTGACCACATGTGAACGCAGCTCGCTGAATTCGGTGATAGGGATGTTTGCGGTTTATGATATCATTTTAAGGCTGTGGCATATTGCCCTGACAGGGTTTTATCAAAAACAAAAGCGAATGCAGAAATAAAAAAAATGTCTGATATTACTGTGAACGGTCTTTGTCCACGACAAGTTATTTCATTTTATAAACTTCTCTTTTTTTTCCACAAGTCAACTAGCTTTGCTTTTAATACCATCCGCTTTACCTTCTTAAGCACTGTTGTCTGTCAAATCTCAATATTGTAGTGCCCAGCAGAAAAATCAGCCCTGCAAATTCGCACTTCTTTTTGAACAGTAACGGTGTGTTGATTTAAAACCCAGTAAAAAATGAGGCGTTTTTTTTTTCTAAAAGAGCCAAATGCACATAAAATGAAACTGAGAAAAACACACGTTATTTCTACTGACAATATGATTGGGCCTGCTCAAACAACTCTTTGCCAGTATGTTCTTCTCCTAAAAATACCACAAATCTATAATATCGCTAAACAATACTAAGCCGATTATTGACAGTATTGTGAAGTGAAGCTTGCATTTGGATTCTATAGATTGAAACATTTCATTTGGATATAAATTAGTTAATTGAATAAGTGTAAAACAATTAAAATTTACGGTATAGCAATATTTGTGATATAATTAACATAATACTTGTGCTTCCATCCGGGCTGAGCTTCGATACATGGGCGTAATGGTGATTACTATAGACTCGAAGAACGAGTAGAAGGGGCACTATTTTAGACTGTCTTCAGTGTTTTCTTGTTCCTGGTATCAATGAAATGCCTTGAAAAATGTTCCAGTTAGTTTTATGTCATGCCTTTGCTGACCACTTCTTCTTGTTTAGGGAATAGGCAGACACCCAATATCTTTATTTCATACCCATTTTATTTCAAATATACCATGTTAGAGTTAACGGAGGACAAGATACTGTTGAGCTAAAGTTGAGAACAATCACTAAGATGCAAGAAGTGAACAAGTGAGCCTCTTACTCTTCACAATCGAGTTTTGTCGCTAAACATAATGTCCTTCGATAAGTGATGATTCGCGCTAAAAAACCTAATTCTGGAACGTATACACGATAACAAAGCAACTGAGACACAAATGAAACATTTTGGGTGGAACCGCGTTGGTTATTTTGATCATATTTGTTAAGGCAGAGCTGGTTTAATGAATGTGGCTCACTTTGATTGAAACATTTGGAGTACTTGGCTCATTTGCCATTAGAAACTGCCTTTTCAAGCTCATATTGCATTAAATAATTGCCTAATTTTGATCACAACTGTTGTGTAAATTTAAGGTACTTTGGCATGGTTTACGTTCCACTAAAATTTAGCCTGGTCTCGGTTTTCGCATTTGGCTATTCTTGAAAAACAATGTCTCAAATATTTAAAAAATAACGCACTGTTGTTTAGGCGTTCTCACAATGCCCTATCGACCCATACTTTTCACGTGCGACAAAGCAATGCAGCAACCAGACGCGACTTGCTTTCAGAAACACTTGCGAAAGGCACGCCAACGAATTTCGCTATGCATTTCTTTCTTTTCTTAACTTTTATAGAATGAGCCAGGGTTTCCACTTTGATGCTTTCCTATACTCCAACTTACACTACTCCTTCTTAAGACGCAGTAAATGCTTTTTTTATTTAAAAAGGTACCCAAACATGTGATAGGTGTGACGTTTCCAGTTTCACGCATACAATCAGCGTTGAGGAAATAGCGTGAACTGCGCCATTTTGCGCACTATTGACCTTTTACATAAAAAAAACATATTATGAACATTTATCATGGTGTCAAGAAGAAATACACTGCTATATCAAAACAGTAGTTAAAATCTTCCCACCTTTTCCTTTAATACAGCACACAGGCGTATACCTAGACATGTATACGTTGAACACGAATGAAAATAAAAGAAGGAAGGTTCTGAGGTGTACGCGTGTCAATGTTGGTCTATCCCTGTGAATTGAATCATTCATGGTGATGAATGATGACACTTTAAGACCTCACAAAAGTGCGCGGCTAAAGTACTCCCGCCAAGCCTTCAGATGTTCATTACAACATTGAGTGGCGTGAATAGTGACGAAAGGTGCAAGCAGAAAAAAAATTAGTATCGGTTGCGTCTCTCATAATCAAATCGTGAATTTGGAACGTCAAACCTCACAAATCAATCAACCACGTTAGTATCGGTTCACTGAGGGCAGGTACTCACTCTCGTTTTTTTTATTCTCACACAAGTACACTGTTAATTCACATGCTCATCGTTTTGTCTATTTATCGACATTATACTTTCTTTCTGCCCTTGAAGTTATGATCTAATGGTCCTAAAGTGGCCACACGAAAGCGCAAGCATGGTAGAGAAATGGGGCGATGTTCATACATCCTTTAACGAAGATCGCTTTCTATAAGGATAAATTGGAATTTTACACTCACACAACCCAACCCGGAGGACAGACGCATCCGTCTGTACAGGGTACGTTGCAGGACGTCCTAAATGTCTCGTGGCAGGTTGCTGGACATCCCGGTGCGCATGTACGATAATCCCGCTGCCATTTGAACTTGCAAGGTATACACTTTAGCCGGGGGATGCACTCGCCCCACGAATTGCGTAAGTAGCGCCGCTTGCAGACGCAGCTGCGAAGTTTCCACAGCTCCCAAGGGGGTGTGAACAAGGGTCGGCAAAAGCGGTCGCGCCGAGGGCTCCCGTGAACGGGCCTTTCTAGGGGCCCACACTGTGTAGGTCCACAAACTTGTGCATCTGCGTTGTGAATTATTTTTATTTATTTAACAATATTGTAGGCCTTCTTCAGACCCATACAGGAAGCGGGCATACATCATCACAGGTAACCAAGTAGATACAAAGTCCAGAAAATACAATATTTTGAGGGACGATACGCACAACAGCGAAGCACTTACAATAGAGGGTACAACAATACTACGTTGGTGCTCTTCCCGTACACGAGACGAGAAAAAAACAGTAATAATAAAAAACCACTTACTACGCATGAAAAACAATATATATGTACAAAGATTACAAAGCACTACTGCAAAACACGTTTTTCGTTATCGCAAAAATAAGAACCGCAAAATGTAACTATACTGGCTCAGTTAACTGCTCCACAAAAGAACTAAGTTCATCAATATTTGTAATATTAACAGCTTCACCTGGTAGGGTGTTCCAAGCGGTGACAGCGCGAGGGGAAAAGGAAACTTTAAACACATTGCTGTGGGCACAGAAGGTACGTATACATTTATCATGGTGAGACTCAATAATAATCGAAATATACAATAAAGTGGCAAATATCTACACAACGATCTGTCGCAGTGCCCAACACGCCTTTAGCCTAGTGGCTAAGCACTCGGCTGCTGAGCCGTAGGTCACGGGATGGAATCCCCGCAGCGATCGCCGCATTTTCGATGATGGAGCAAATGATTGAGGTTTGTGTGCTTACATTTAGGTGCACAATAAAGAACCCCAGGTGAGTGAGTGAGTGAGTGAAACAACCTTATTTGGCGCACAATGAACGCCAGTTCACTCAGTGTAACCTGGCTAGGCCCACTCGGAGACGGTCAGCTTAAACCTAACCACCCTCCCACTGGACGGCCATGAGTTGAGTGGTGAGGACCTGGGCCTTAATCATCCTGTGGATTTGTTATTCTTGGAAAGGGGTTGTCCAAATTTCCGGAGCCCTCCACTACGGCATTTCTCCTAATGATGTGGTGGTTTTGGGATGTTTGATCCCAACAATTATTAAATGCGAAGCATTTCTTAGTGAGCTTCGGCGACTTTTAGCGTATCTGTCTGTCTGTCTGTCTGTCTGTCTGTCTGTCTGTCTGTCTATCTATCTATCTATCTATCTATCTATCTATCTATCTATCTATCTATCTATCTATCTATCTATCTATCTATCTATCTATCTATCTATCTATCTATCTATCTATCTATCTATCTATCTATCTATCTATCTATCTATCTATCTGTCTGTCTGTCTGTCTGTCTGTCTGTCTGTCTGTCTGTCTGTCTGTCTGTCTATCTATCTATCTATCTATCTATCTATCTATCTATCTATCTATCTATCTATCTATCTATCTGTCTGTCTGTCTGTCTGTCTGTCTGTCTGTCTGTCTGTCTGTCTGTCTGTCTATCTATCTATCTATCTATATCTATCTATCTATCTATCTATCTATCTATCTATCTATCTATCTATCTATCTATCTATCTATCTATCTATCTATCTATCTATCTATCTAGCTATCTAGCTATCTAGCTATCTATCTGTCTGTCTGTCTGTCTGTCTGTCTGTCTGTCTGTCTGTCTGTCTGTCTGTCTGTCTGTCTATCTATCTATCTATCTATCTATCTATCTATCTATCTATCTATCTATCTATCTATCTATCTATCTATCTATCTATCTATCTATCTATCTATCTATCTATCTATCTATCTATCTATCTATCTATCTGTCTGTCTGTCTGTCTGTCTGTCTGTCTGTCTGTCTGTCTGTCTGTCTGTCTGTCTGTCTGTCTATCTATCTATCTATCTATCTATCTATCTATCTATCTATCTATCTATCTATCTATCTATCTATCTATCTATCTATCTATCTATCTATCTATCTATCTATTATCTATTTATCTATTATCTATCTATCTATCTATCTATCTATCTATCCATCTATCTATCTATCTATCTATCTGTCTGTCTGTCTGTCTGTCTGTCTGTCTGTCTGTCTGTCTGTCTGTCTGTCTGTCTATCTATCTATCTATCTATCTATCTATCTATCTATCTATCTATCTATCTATCTATCTATCTATCTATCTATCTATCTATCTATGTATCTATCTTTCTATCTATGTATCTATCTTTCTATCTATCTTTCTATCTATCTATCTATGTATCTATCTTTCTATCTATCTATCTATGTATCTATCTTTCTATCTATTTATCTATCTATTTATTCGTCTGTCTGTCTGTCTGTCTGTCCGCCTGCGACTGTTAGCTCTCCCCTCTCTCTCATCTTTATGCCCCCTTCCCATTCCCCCAGCATAGGGTAGCATACCGGGCATGTGTCTGGTTAACCTCCCTGCCTTCCCTCTTGTTGTTTATCTCCCCTACCTACCTAGGCGTTTCGTTATTGGTATCAATACCAAATTTGGTATAGCATAACATGATGGTATGACGAGCATAATTGATTAGTCATAACATGACTATCATGACTTGTCTTGTATGTGATGAATCTCATGATTTACATTCGATGGTCTTGGTGTTCTTGCGGTGGTTCCGTTCACATGTTATGTTGCAAAATTGGCATGATATGACATTACTGCATGGCAAACACAAGTGACAAACCCAAACGGAGAAATCATGACATGCATGTCATGTAAGTCATGAGTAATGACTACGTGCGGCGCTCATGGTACGCTCGCAGTCGTTTCGTTAGCTAGAATGATGATGAGTGGGCGAAGCTCCGGAGGCAAACCTGGTAAACCATGAATCCTCCGTACATTTTGCCCACTCGATTTTATTACAACGCTCCCCCTATCGAACGTCGCCGCACTAACTCGAACAATTGCCTTCCACCAATGACACGCGCCATATGGGACATCATTCCTTTTTTATGACATCTCACATCTTTCGTCATCAACTACAAGTACCACAGTGTAGTTTATAACATCTTGCATCTTTTCATTGGATGGATGGATGAATGGATGGATGGATAAATATGGCTGTACCCTTCAGATCAGGTGGTGGCTAGCGCCACGAAGCCGTATTACTTAATGAACCCAAAACTATTTTTTTCCTTAAAAAGTGAGTTTGAGGATTCGTACTTTGCAGTGAAGAGTTTAATTTTCACTCGTGCCTTGACTTTAGCCACCAATCAGATAACCTCCTTCTAGTTGAGTTTACTTGCTTAAAGTCTATTTTGCCCTCCCGGTCCCTAAACCCCAGTGCTTCGAAAAACTCTGCGCCATCATCCTAAACTACAGGGTGAAGCCCTTTGCAGAACATTGTCAAGTGTCCGGCAGTTTCTTCTTCCTCGCCACACGCACTGCATACTGTGTCTACCCCTTCGTATTTGGCCCGTTATGTCTTTGTTCGCAGTACTCCCGTCCTTGCCTCAAACAGTAGAGAACTACCCCGGGTATTATCATAGATCCTTTCCTTGGCAATTTCCTGCATAAAACTTCGATAGATCTCTAGTGCGGACTTCTTAATCATGCCCATTTTCCACATGTCAGTCTCCGTTTCCTTCACTCTCTTCTTAACCGATAGTTCTTTTTGGTTTGGCCACCTGCTGTTTTCTAAGTATTTACCAGTCAACTTCCTGGTTCGCTTCCTCCATTTTGCATCGACATTCTTCATGTACAAGTAGCTGAAAACCTTCCTAGCCCAACGCTCTTCCTTCATTTCTCTCCATCGCTTCTCAATTTTTATCTTGCTGCTAGCTTCCCTGCCCTCAAATGATGTCCATCCGATATCACCTTGTACTCCCTGATTTGGTGTATTTCCGTGAGCTCCTAAAGCAAACCTACCTATTGCACGTTGCTTAATTTCTAATCTTGCTTGAACTTCTGATCTCATGCACAAGACCGCATTGCTGAACGTCAGCCCAGGAACCATTACCCCTTTCTATATTCCTCTCACAACATCATACCTATTGTAATTCCACAGTGCCCTATTTTTCATCACTGCTGCATTCCTGTTACCTTTAGTCGTCACGTATATTTCGTGTTCCCTCAGGTACTCAGCCCCATTGCTTATCCATACGCCCAGATATTTGTATTTATCTGTTATCTCTAGCGTGACCTCCTGTATCTTAAGCTCACTACCTTCGTTGTCATTGAAAATCATGACGGCTGATTTTTCCTTACTGAATCTAAAATCTAACCTATCTCCCTCATTACCGCAGATGTCCATCAATCTCTGCAAATCTTCCTTGTTGTTGGCCATTAGCACTATATCATCTGCGTACATTAATGCTGGTAGTGCCTGATCAATAAGTTTTCCTTGTTTGACTAAAGAGAGGTTGAAGCCCAGCCCACTTCCGGCTAATTTTTCCTCTAATCCTTGTAGATACATCATGAATAATATGGGTGACAGGGGGCACCCCTGTATAAGCTCCCGTTTTACCTTTGCAGGCTTGGATACCTGTTTTCCCTACTTTATAACTATCTTGTTACCTTTATAGATACCCTTTAAAAGATTAGTGACTACATGTTCCACGCCTAGTGTGTCCAGTATTCTCCACAATTCCTCTTGAACCACGCTATCGTACGCTCCCTTGATATCCAAGAATGCTAGCCACAGGGGCCTGTGTTCCTTTTCTGCTATTTCGATGCACTGCGTCAGTGAGAACAGATTGTCTTCTAACCTCCTGTGTTTCCGAAACCCATTCTGCAGTTCCCCCAGCACCCCCTCATCTTCTATCCATGCCTGCAGTCTTTCCTTCATAATCTGCATTGCCAGCCTGTGGACCACTGATGTCATTGTTATAGGGCGGTAGTTGTTTATGTCAGCTTTGTCCTCCTTTCCTTTATAGATCATGCTCATGCTGCTAAGTTTCCATCCGTCGGGAACTTCACCATCGATTATTATTTTGCTCACTGCCTCTCTCAAAGCCTGCTTAGACTTCGGACCTAATGTCTTTATCAGCCTAATTGGAATGTCATCTGGGCCTGTTGATGTACTACTAGGAACCCTTTTTTATCAGCTATAAGTACTTAGGTCATAAGTCATAAGTACTATAAGTCATTATCAGCTATAAGTACTGCCATCTAGTGACACTGCAAGAACTAAATGAGAGGTGGCTACGTACAGGGGACGCACAGCCCACGCCTTAAGGAACTTCGCCTCTAACAGAACAACCACCACTTATTTGGTTCTCGTGGGCAATGTACCATGATACTTTGAGCTGTTTCTCTTTGTAAAAACGCCCAGCCATATAAAGCAACAAAATGTTGAATCAGACTAGTTGGGGAAAATTTCGTGGATATTATTTCAGTTTTTCTGGGAGCTATTTGAAAGAAGGTGAAATATTCACTGTTCCTTGAGCATGTTAAAACGATATGGAACTATGGATCACGTATGAGAAGACGGAGCCGACCTTAACAATAAACCAATATCTTGGCTGTTCTCTGCTAGATTCCTAATTGAGTGCGATGGTGTATTTCAGGAGGATGATTCAAATGCCACAGGCGCCTCTACAAACACTTTAATTTTCGCCTAGCATGTTTATAATCAACCTACGGGGGCACTTAAAAGGGATGTGCTTTGCCTGGCAAGAATACCAGCACTATTTTACTCAATATTTGTACATGCGTTCTCCACAGAGGAAATCTATAGGTTCGTGCAAATTACTGCTTTAACGTCGAGCATACATTGCATCGGGGCAGAAAAGAGAAACAGTGCTGCTGTTCTCTTCTTTTTTGATAGAGGGTGATGGAGGCAGCAACGAATAGAACAAAAACTGTAGAATTATCGCATGTAGCGCTATGTTTTACGTGACAGGGGTAAATGTATCGATATGAAACATGTGCGTTTTAACAAAAAAGCTTGAAGAGCGGAGGAAAAGGCAAAAAAAGAGTTCAGTGATAACGGTACTTTCAAATCAGAGGAAGAGTTGAAGCGCTATATAAGCGGTGCACAGTGATTGCTGGGGGCCATTTAGAAATATTTACCTAATAGTAGTAGAAGCTGGAACTCTCATTTTATTACAAAATGGTTACACCCTGCGTCCTAATGCTTGTCAGAACTAAGAAGCATTTGTTGTTCTGCAGTGACTAGACTTTCACATCAGCAACAGACATAATAAAGTTTTTAAAATGACCACATTAGCTCAATAACCATGACGCTGGTATCGCGAATATACACATTAACATTCAAAGGACCATTTTTATTCATTGTGAGCAAAAGAAGCTCAGCAGAGTAGCCCTTGTTTCACGATAAATGCTTTTGAAGCGCGTGTGAATGACACTTGCCCCTGAGTTCCGATACAACGTTAGGGGCGTGATGATGCGATGGTGCTTCTTGCGTGTTAACGCTATTGAGTATTCTATAGCCCTCAGCGGTGCGGCTCTTACGAGGAGCCGGTATACGAATACAGAAAAATGTGTACAAAAAATGAATGGTGTATTTGTAGCATTCAGTATTCTTCGAAAAACTCTGCTGAGTAATATTTTGTCAAATAACCAAGCAAACCCATGTGGCGCCGGTGATAGCTAAACTCCAGTTTCATGACAGAAAAATGACAGATGGCATGTCGGGTTGATTTATTCTGAATGAGACGCTGGTGACCGTGAATAAAAGGCTGGTCTGATATAGATGAATGTAGTCCTCGTGTTGTTGTGTGCTTGTAAAACAACAACGACGTCTTTCCTTCATTGCACGGCTAAAACAGAAGCTTGTAGTTTGTACACAAGCATTGTAGTAACCTACAGGCTAAGGCTACCATCATTACATGCTCTCATCACTTAACGAGGCGTCTCCAACAGATATGTCTCCATCAAATAAACTTGTATCAAAGTGCACGTATAATATTTCACATTGCATCTCTACCCTTCTGACATCTCCAGCTGTTTTTGTGTCTTTGGGCAGTAACACAATCAATAAAGCAGTTACTAGAGTTAGTTTATGCTGCAAGACACAATACAGGGTACAAAACAAGTTAGATGTATTACGCAGACAATGACAGAAGACTGATAGGGAAGCAGCATCAGATGCAGCATTGGAAACCGAAACGAGTGTTTGATGTGGCAGATCGTTGAATCGCAAATAGACCATGATGTTTTCATCTTCCAATGCCAGATTGACTGGCTAAACTTTTTAAAAGAGATAACAATCTACCTCTTCGTTATTTGGACCAGTACGAGCGCGTAATGCGGTGTATTTTCTAGGGAATTTGACTGATAATTCCATACGGGCAAATAAACATCAGCTTCACAGTATTCTTACAGACAGCCTCATTGTTTATTATCCCTTGCTCTGTGTCCTTCAGAAACAACACTTAATAAAATTGTACTTACTCCCACACCTGCGGCCTCCGTTTACGACCACGATGCAAATCATGACCACAGTCCCCACAATGTGCTGCATGCTCTTCTTTGCAGTGAACAAAATAGTGCGAAGCCAGCTATCGCCTCAATTTTCAGAAGACCTCACAGCCGTTAGCATCGCCTTTGCAGGTGCATTCGCAGGCTCTATCTATTGTTCCAATAGTGAGGTGTCGCTTGCATGCAACGCATTGAGTGCCTTGTCTGGGTAGCTTAGGAAATGTATTTACATCCGAATATTGCAGTGGATTTGCTGTAAGCATGGTTGCATAGCTGAAGTATAACCGAACAACTGACATCTGTTCTTAATAACTGGGCAGAGTAACACAGAGCTTATGTGAACATCTATTCAACGTAATGATTTTAGGCCGTGTTGGTGGTGCCACCTTACAAGTAAAGCCTTTACTTTCACGGTAATTTAGGAACGTACTCCATGCTTCTGGCAAGTGTAACGGGTATCGAACTTATGTTAAATTTCAGGTAGCGTGTGGTCTCACGTTACTCGCTAGTGTTTATTTGAAATATCCCGAAATACTTGGACAGACCTCTTTCATCTCGTGGCTGCTACATTCCCGGGTTTATCCTATTGCCACAGCTTCAGGGCGCTATCAGCCCGCCAGGGGCTAACAATGAGCGTATCAGCTAATAAATCCGCGAACAACCTGTCTAATGTGGATGTAATAACTTAGAAGCAAGCAAAACGTACAACATAAACTTCAAAATAGAGCTGTTCCTTAAATACTTCAGGCTGTAGTGGTCGGCAGTTTGACCAGACAGTGCATTAGCACAGTTTGTCAATTTATTTTTAGAACGCCAAGTTATCTTCTTGCTACATTTACATTGTGTATACTTCTGTCATGGTTAAATTCTTGAGCTTTGGAAGTTGGCCCTAAGTGCTCTCGCATAAGCACTCGCAATGTTCAATGAAGTTGTATAGGTTGAAAGGCAACAAAGATTTATGCTGCAAATATTTTTCTGGGATAGGCCATTTAAGGATTCTGTTTTTCTACAAGATCTTCGCAAATGTTTTGAATGCCAGTACAAATGCCAGTACAAATCAGTAATGTTTATTTTCCGGAGAGCATTGATGGTGAAATCTCCCTATCAATTTATTGTAACTTTGAGAAATAACCTTACTGAACGCCAGAACTAATCAGTCACCACATGTAACTGTATACTAACTATCAGCCCACTATTGTATTTGTAAAGTCGTGACACTTGTCTCTGATTTTTTACCTAAATAGAAAATTAAGGTAAAATTGTAGTTTTGACTAGGGGCTATTAGTAACACCTACAATGATGTTTATTAAGTTACTAGTTCCGTTTCCGCAGCGACCGTGCACTGAATAAAATTTGGGACCACAGCCTTAAGAAGAAAGTAACGTGCGTTACTTTTATCTGGTACGGCAACAGTAACACGTTATTTTTGTGTACCTATTAACGTAGGGCAATAAACCGTTTCTTTTTTGTTGGCGTAACGAGTAACGTACTTAGTTACTTTATTCAGTAACACAAAGAACACTGGTTCTAAGCCACAATCTACGCGTTAAATTGAGGTGAGCTTAGTGCTCACAAGCAAATTTAGTGAATATAATACAGTTACGTGAAATGAGACGAGGCGTCACCTTTGGCAAGCGTATTTATACCGAGCGAAGAAGATTGAGAATAGCGCGCACAGTGGCCAGACAAGCCCTGTTTATCGTCTTTTGTACGGTGAATATCTAGTCATTTATGTGCTAGCTATTTACGATCACCCCCAGCTGAAAATGTGCCGTCTTGGTGCCCTCTAAACATGATATACAGAAAGAGGGTAGTATGTTTTGAACCTACCAACGTGCACTACGTCACTGGGCGTGTTTTTAGACGAGCTAGTCTCAAAGACGAAAAACCTCGTATGTAACTTTCGTTACCGGGTGGATGAAACAGTAAGGACCTATGTACGAGATAACTTCTCTGGCAAGTCAATACGACAAACTGCGGCCCCGCACAAGAACTAAGGAACCAGGTAAGAAGCTAACGTCGAGATGTGTGCTATTTTAGAGAGCCTCTTTGATTGCTTCTGAAGCCAACGTCCTCGAGCTGGCTAACTGACGTGCGAAGTCCGCAGAGTGACAACCTCACGCACGTATTCGCCAGGCGTAGGTGCAATAGTCAGAATTATGGTACCCAGGGTAACGTCGGATGACAGTCATAAAGCAAAGAAAAAGTTGAGCAAGTGGCGGTGTCATGACGAGATGAATTGTAGGCGAGTTTCACGTGAGGAACACCAAATGCAAGTCATGAGTTTTATAGGAGATTTCCAGTGTGGGAATCTCTGGGGATGTGTTTTTTAGGTGGTCAGTGAGGTCATTTTTTGGGCATGGTAGGAAATCATCTACTATGACTGCATTGAAAAAGAGCGAGAAAGATCGTCGATTGCTCATGACATAAATGAGTGATCATGATGGGCGAGCAGTTGGTGAGAACGCCATGGTGTAGGCTGATATTGTAGAGCGAGATTTTGGTGAAGTCTGTAGTAGTGCAGGTGAGATGCACTGTAATCATGGTATACGTTGCCGCGTCCTATATCGAAATGGTTATTTCCAGAGTTTGTTATGAAAAATAACTGACAAGTTCTACACTTACATGGAAGAAAGGTTGGGTAGCAATGAAGATCAGGTGAAGGAGTCCAGCAGCGAAGGTCGATTCTGACGTTGGCTGTCATCGCAGGAGACTGTGTAACATTGAACACAACTGGTGAGGTGATGCCACGCAAAATAAGTGGTGCACGACGCCGTCATACGTGCGACATGCATTTAGATGAGTGGTAGTTTGTATGTCGTGAAGCACATGCAGAACCACTGACAGCATAGCTTCAGGTATAAATACCCCAGTCCCATGTGCTCAGATTTGGGTACACGTTAAAGACCCCAAGGTGGTCGGTCGAAACTTCTGGAGTTCTTTATTACTTCGTTTCTCATAATCATATGATGGTTTTTGGACGTTAAGCCTGACATATCAATCAATCAGACCTTCAGGCACAACGAGAAGTCAGACATGGTGATCTGGCTTGAGGCTACGATGGTACAGCGTGAAATTCAATGGGGATGAACATGTGGAACGATGAGTCGTTAAAGGCAGATTCGAGACGGTCAATAAGTGATCGCAAAGAAGTACGTGACACTGTTTGTCACCAATCTGATGAAACTCAGACATGGACGTGACGCTTTGGCTAATCTTGATGACCGATATGTCTCGTTGACCAGCAGAGTAGCGGGACAAGCAATAGGCCTGCAGATGGAGGTGTCGACAGTTTTACCGAACTGAGTGGGAGTATTTTTCAAGACACCAAATCGTCCAGAAGCATCCTTTAGTGACAAAAGCCACCAATTAAGTGATCATATGTGATGCCATGGAAGGGGCTGTCATACAATTAGGACGAAATTTGGAAACAACCTTTAAACAGGAAAATCAATTTTCGAGCCATATTTGCAAGGTGTTTCAGCGCGCGAACAAAGGAAAAAAGGACAGGGTAGACAGAAAGAGCGCTGACTTCCAACTAACTTTATTTCGCAGAGTGGCAAGAATTTATACGTCTAAAAAAGAAGATGAGGACCCAATCTGTCACACGTGCTGTTACTGGTGGTAGAGGACTTGTCACACGTGCTGTTACTGGTGTGTAGATCGGGCTTGTTTTTTACCTTCATGCTCTGCAATCTTCTTTTTTAGACGTATAAATTCTTGCCACTCTGCGAAATAAAGTTAGTCGGAAGTCAGCGCTCTTTCCGTCTACCCTGTCCTTTTTTTCTTTGTTCACGCGCTGAAACACCTTGCAGATATGACTACGCACCAACTAGCCCAAGCTTCCACTCTTGTGAATTTTCGAGCGTTACAGAGCAGCTGTGCTCAGACTTTGAGAGGAGACAACTTACCACGATCAATGCCCCGCTGAGTTTCACCAAAACTGCGCTGATGACGTGACTGCTAGCCTCTGTGCGCATTTCTGTGATAGCACCTGGATTAAAGCTTGCATTTATTCGGGAGCTCTTAAAGGAGAAAGGACCTGAAAGAATGCGTCAGCTTGGAAAGGACCTCAGCTAAAGAAGACTTCTCGTTGTGAAAGGTGACTGTGTCAGCGTGTGAGTGCCGCGAAAGCCTCTGAATAGAAGCACCGCCACACGAAACTTCAAACATCATGGACAGAACGCATGACTGCAAACTTCGTTACAGAGCGTAAGTTTGGCAGGTATGGTCGAACACTAGAAACGTCGACAAGTGTGGCAAAACCAGCAATTTTCAAGGAGCGAAGTGGCACTCAGAAATTTAGTTCGAGGCCAGTCCGTCGAAATACTGATAGAATGGTCGTAAGTTGCTTAATGTGTGTGACGAAGGTAGACGAAAATATTTTAACGTCCTCAAAGTGTCACAAGCACGTCGACCATTTTAATCCTTGATGAAGCGTATCTATCATTCTTTGAAAGAATGCTGGAGCGTTGCCGATACCTAAGCTTATGAGCTTAAAGTGATAAAGACCGTTGATAGTAACAAATATGGCATTTTTGCCAGCTGTGATCTATAATCAATTTAAAGTAGCGAGATTGCAAGTCTAACTGGTGACATAGAGGCAGTCGAGGGCACCTTAAATGTCCAGAAGAAGGCACACGTCTTTCATGGTAAGCTCGTTGAAGTGTCAATAATGAGATTTTTGCGCTAAGACCATAGGGAACTATACCATGGTTGAATAAGACAATGGCGCCCAGCCCAAATGCTAGAAGATGGTCCGAGGATGTTTTTCGCTAGCATTTGGTCACTATTTGAATCACTTTTCACTCTGATGTGGACGTGGGATGAGATTGGTGGTGGGTGGGCGCCGAGAAACCAGTGTTGTTTCGGTGAGTGATCAAGTTGGTATGGCCAAAGAGATCACCATAGATGTTGAAAATATCACTATAGCAGGCCAAGACCTGTCAGAGAACGTTGGCTTTATCAGGGAAAAGGTCTGATTCAATGATAAAACGAAAAGGGTGCGATGATAACTGCCTAAAGATAACATTTTCTCTTTGCCCGAAGAGGTTACGGTGACAACATTGATTTGATTGTCTCTTATGGCAATGAATTGGGCAAGCAACATCTGATAGAGCAACACTTGGGGAATGAGGCCAATTTGTGGGAGCATAAGCAAGACACAGTTCTTCAGTATGGGGGGGGGGGCGGATGGTTTGCAGCAGAGTAACATTGGGCGTTAGTAGGTCGTCTGCTGTTGATGTAACGATGTAGTATCCATAGGGTACTGAGTGGCTCGATCACAAACAGGCATACGCTACTGTTCGAGGCTGCAAGTGAACAAACGTGAGTGGGCTTAACCAGTTGGCGGGCTGGGCGTACCTTAGAAACAGTCAAATAAGGCCGGGTGAGCCGAAAGGAAATAAAAGCCATGCATGAGGTCATACGAGCTAGAATGCAAGAAAGGGCTGTGATGTGACGACTGCTAATGCTGACACTAGCCTGGCACATTTCGATTGCTTCTACATTGCCGCCTGTGGAAGCACGTATTGCCTGTGTCGTATATAAAGTAATACTGTTCTGTAGAGGTGCCATAAAGAACCGCTCATATTAGACACGTGGCAGGTGGGCGCCAGTGCCATCGAGGGCACTCTGAGGAACATTGTCAGCGTTTACTTTAAGCAGGCTGAGATTTGTGGGGAGCGTCAGTAGAGGGTTGATGGGCATCGATGACATTGCAGCTTCATTTTCATAAGCTGCAATATCTAGTAATCTTACTACGAGCCTCCAAAGGAAGCTTTAGAGCTGCGAAAAGCGGGATGGGTGGTACTACAGCTACGAAAAGTCACAGTAGCGGAGAATGGCCAAAGTGTAAATAAGCTATGATAGCGCATTCATAGCGTACGTAGCGTAGCAATATGAATAAAAGCCGTCATATGAGCCCTTACCGGCTGAATATGTGACCTAGATTGAAATGAACTGCAGCGCACACATTACAAGGTAGAAAGATGGGACAAATACTTCTGCGTCACTTCAACTAGCCGTGTACGAAAGCATGTACAATGTCAAAAAGTCCACAATTGTGTGCAGTGGTGCACAGCCACTCAAGAATTCTGAGGAATCTGGTTTGAGTTCTTTATTCTGTATATTCATTGCAAGTAGTGTAGTCAATATTGCACTGTAAGTACCCTAACACAGCACTGAGATTATTAACGGCAAGGAATATTTCCGGCTAATTTTATTTTGCACTAATTCAGAATTACTTGTCTCTATTGAGCCAGGCTGTGTAATGCACTCGGGATGATCGGCATATCTGAGCTCTTTTGTCATTACCTTGTAGATGTTTCAGCGTGGTTATCATGGACACCGTTCAGAAGATATGATTAGTGCTTGCTGGTAGAGTTACAAGCTATTCAAAAACTATACTAGATCGCTTCCCTAAGCACTTGTTTGTTATGTTATATGGCTGCATATTTATTCTTTCCAGGGTATTGGCATAAATTTAAGGATGCACTGTTGCGCTGACTTTGGAAAATCACTGTATGGTAAAAGAAATACACACTGGGAGTGCAGGTATGACTAACACAATAGTTGAATCCTACGCTACCTAAGCATCTAGTGAAGAACTAATGCACAGGTAGATTTATTCTCATACAGAACTGGCAACACTGGTGACTAGTTGACAGTTGTTTTCAAAGCAATTTGACTGTGGCCTGTATACCACAATAGAAAATAAAAAAAAGGTATAGAATAAAAATACGCCAATTAGCATACATCGAGGAAGAACAATATAATATGTTTATTACTGTAACATACAGGTAAGTTATTACAAGTTTTAAAATGACTACAAAAGCAGCAGGTCTCACAAAAAAAACCGCTTGGTTATCGCTATTTCAGTCCTGCATATTTAGGGGTGGAGGGAAACAATTTTTGCCCTTACCTCATATGTCTTGAGCTCATAAACCAGCAAATGCAATGAGCTACAGGAGTAATTGCATCAAAAGAATTTTATGAAAGAGCAGCAGCTATGGTGGAACTCGTAACAAGAGCGTACAAGAGAAATAAAATAAAAGATATGTGGATGGGAACCACTCCACTCTTCATGAAAGCCCGTGATGTGACCCCTTCTAACTACAGCGAATATGTTTAAATTGTAATAATTAATTAGGTTCCTATTTCTCTTTTTGCAATGCAATAAATTTAGCACTGAGCAGTTGTTTTGCGCAGTTTGCTATTCGTGATAATGCGGGAATTATTCAGCGCAAAAATGTTGGAGCCCCATGTTGCAGCGTTGTCTTCAGAGAGGAACTTGTTTCGTCGGATTGAAAGGAGCTAGGTTGCGACTGTAACCTTGCGCGCTTACATTGTTCTCTCAGTTTCACCAGTATCTATTAGCAGTGTGTTTTCCGTTTGGGCTGCGCTGCCAACAGAAAGGAATCGTTCGTGAACTATCAGCCCCACGTCTGATATGCGGCTACCGAAATTATTCATTTCAACGATGGTAGATCCGTCTTGCTCTGTGCCCATTAGAACCGCACCTTCTCGTGGTCTAAAACATTCTGCTGTAATGCTTGGTATTTTAGAGGGTAAGTTGATTGTGGTCAAAGATGGCACACTCCCGACACTTCCAGGGGAAGGTCCAGCTGGTGCGCCAGTTACGGTGGCAGCTCCTCCTACCACTGTTCCAGTTGGTGACGTTGCACCTGGTGCTGGTGTATCAATATTTTCATCCCCGACTACAGCTGAGAGAACATTTGTAGGTGAACTGCACATTCCTGTTTGGCTACCGTTGAAAATTATCCCTCCCCGGAGCGAAGTGGGCCCGCTTTAGGAGCCTACTCTCATATTAGCACCTCCACCGGTTGTACCTGATAAGTCATTCAAGGAGCCTCCACCGTCAACACCTGCACTGCTTCCTCCACTCATACCTGATTCTCCATGTATTGTGCCCTAGCTTTGAGTTCTTCCGATGCTTTCTCCAGGCATAGCTGACACCCCACTTGCAGTGCCTCCACCTCGAATACCAACGCTGCTTGCTTCGGTTACGCCTGATACGCCATTTAGAGTGTCTCCTCCTTGAGTACTTGCACTGACACCTATTGTTGTACCTGAAACTCCACTCACAGCGCTTCCACCCTGAGTGCCTGCGCTCACAACGCCAGCAGGATGGACTTGCATCACTAATGGAGGGCGTTTCCACCGGGTTTGCTTGAGAGCCACTCGAAGATATTGTGGCCGCAGTCATAGTCGCATTTAGTGCCTGCCCAACAATTTTAGAAAGCGTACTTGTGGGGGTGAGGGTTCCTCCTGGGGTACCGGAGTGTGGAATGTCACTGGGCTTGAGTGAAGGCTTACTGCGTGTAATCCAGGAGCACACTACTTCACGCACACACGTTAACTTTCCTTCCTCCTCGAGTCCAATATATCCTTTCTTACAAACGCACGCTCCCCTGTTGCAATTCACTTCGCATTTCTCGGGTGTAACTCGGCCACACTTAGGCAGACAACTCGATACGCAAGACTGAAATTCGGAGTGGGCTGGACATTTGGGAAGACATCCATTGGTCTTGATGCACTTCCATGGTTTCCTCGGGTGCCTGCATGAAAAACAGGGACTTCAATGCCATCGCTCTGATGTGTGATATTCGGAATGAGTTTTAATATGATAATCTCTGCTGTCTTACATGCCAGTACTAGCCTATGATTATGAGACACGCCATAGTGGCGAATATCACAAAAACTCTGATGCCTTGGTGCTCTATAACACGTATGTGAAACGAAGTGCATGCATGTGCATGCTTGATCTGCTATGAAATTATGACGGACGTGCCTGCAGGGTGAATTTAAACCGCACACTAAGGCTGGTTGGGGAGACAACTCACACACTAAACTACCATGCTGTGTCTATTGAAATCCAAGTGGACCTTGAAACACTGCAGGGGCCAAAAAACAGGTAAAGAATTGGCGTGGTAGTCATTTCCAGATCGGTATTTATTTTATATTTCGATCATGGTGTCAGCCTTAGAGGGGTAAAAGACAGACATATCATACGAGTGACACGCGAAAAGGCAACAATAATGTGAACATGAAGAGGCAGAAAATTTAAAGATCACATTAGTAAGGTAAATATAAAAAGTGATGGAAGTGTACACAGAGACACTGCTAATGAGGATAGTTGCTAAATTAATCAAGGTATGTACCTTGCCTGGAACATTGGCTCCAGCAAAACTGCTGCCTCATGCTTTCTGATTCTTGGGCGTTTAATTAGGCCTTGCTTGGAGGAAACAACATGTCGCATTAATTTAAATGATCCTTGTGCGGAGCTGTCTCATACTGATATTTTTGAATAAAGTTAACAGCGCAAACTCAGAGCACACCCCACACAGAAAAGAAACAACACACACACACACACACACGAGCGCTGAATATTTAATTGTAAAATGATTTATTCCTCCGTTTGTCAATGAATATTTATGTCTAAGTCAGCGTTACTACGCTTGAGTACACGTCAAAAGTTGTTAGAGAAGTGAAACAGTTATGAAAAATAATTTATATGTAGTATTTAACGGGCCAAAACTACCATATATTTATGAGAGACACCGTAGTGGAGGACTCTTGAAATTTCGACCACCTGGGGTTCTTTAACGTGCTCCAAATCTAAGCACACGGGCCTGAAACATTTCTGCCTTTATCGTAAATGCGGCTGCCGCAGCCTGAATTCAATCCCGCGACTTGCGGGTCTGCAGCCGAGTACATTAGCCACTAGACCACCGCAGCGGCGCAACAGTTATGAAAAAGGTGAATCAATTACGCGAAGACCAAAAAAGTTTTTCAGATGAATGCAGGGACAAGAAACTATCGCTGGTACATACACAATCTTTTTTCATAATTTAAAAGCTTCCAAGGTCAGCCATGCATGCTGATTTTGGCTTCTGCCTAAGATAAACATCTGTTCTAACCGCGCATACAACTGGTGCAAGATTTTATATGGGCTCCTTTATCGGCATTCTTTTTACTTTTGTGCGCGTGTTCCTTGAGTCGCTCGTTGACGAACCTCCCCGTTTCATAGACGTATGTTTAGCACATGCGAGCGGGATGGCATAAACCACACTGACTGCACAGTGTGCACAGAAGACACCATGATGAGTTTCATGTCCTCCTCTGATCACGCCATATATGCGAGAGCAAAGTCACATCCCACAGCTTTGACGGCTTGCTTGGAGAAGACAATGCCACTGGAACACCATGTATGCCGGCAACCTTTTTCACCTGATGGTCATCCTATGTAAATAAAGCTATTAGAAGGAGATGCCAAAGCTATGCTCCCGCACCTGTAGTGTCAGCAAAAGAGGATGCGAAAATTGACATGGTGTCTCCTACATGCCGGGCGCCGCCAGCGTGGTTTATGCCGTCCCGCTCTCATGTGGTAAGACCTACATTGGTCAAACAGGGAGATGCGTGAACAAATGACTTAGGGAACACTCACAAAATGCCGATGAAATAGCTCATCTTGTGGCCCATAATAACTTTTGCAGCAGCTCTGAATCGCGATCAGAACAGCGTGTATCTTAGGCAGAAGCCACAATTAGCATGCGTGGCTGGCCTTGGAAGCTTTTCATGTTATCAAAAAAGATCATTTATATATCAGCGATAGTTTCTTGTCCCTGCATTCGTCTTAATACCAATTTTTGTCTTCGTGTACCTAATTCACCTTTGCCATCACTGTTTCACTTGTCTAATGTTTTTATTGTGTACGCATGTACGATAAGGCTGACTTGGACATAGCTATGCATTCACAAATGAATGAATGAAGCAGTTGATAGTCAGCGTTCGTGTGCGTCGTTTCTTTTCTTTTTGGGGGCATGTTTTGTGTTTGCACTGTTAATTTTGATTGAGGGATATGTACGAACTAGGCTGAAATTAAGTTTGCTTGTGATTCATACTGAGGTCATTGTTCAGAGTGTAAAACAGTAGAATAATAGAGTTATGTATGAATCCAGAGGCCACATATTGGCATAGAAGAAGAGCTGATGTGATGAAGTTCTTTATTTTGTTTATCTGGCAGCCCGACGCCTAAGAACTAGAAGTTTTTAAACGCCAACTACAGAATTCATCTATGCGTAGTTCATATTGACATACGAACTCGCGTTTAGAATCCCCCTCAGCCCTGCTCTTGTAACCAGAGCCTGTTGACTTCTTTTTTATTCAATCCCGATGCTTCACAATTTGAGAGTGTCACGCAGCGTTGCTTTTTTAGATTGCATCATAGAATATGTTTGTTTGAAGCTCTGAACCCTAGTATGCGTGGCTCAAACTGTTAGATAACTAAGATTAGATAACTGTTAAACAGATAAGTAAGCTCGTAGGAGTGTAACTTGAAGATGTACTTACACTACCCAGCCAGGTGGGCATCCACATCCGGGAGCACATGGTTTGTCGCATGACTTCCTGAAGGGAAAGTTGCAGGTCGCAGGGCACCCATCTACACACTCGCGATAATCTTTCTGCCATCGAAACTGGCAAGGGATGCACTTCAAGCGCGGGATGCACTCGCCCCAGGAGTTCCGTAGGTAGCGTCGCTTGCAAACGCATCTCCGCAGTTTGCGCAGCTCCCAAGGAGGCGTGAACAGAGGCCTGCAGAAATGGTCGTAACGAGGTTTCCCAGATACGGGAACTTCCAGTGGACCGCACGCCAATTCTTTACAATTGCCGGTTTCTGTAAAGTAAGGAGAGGCAGAAAATTCAGCACATAGGGTCACTTCTGTTCTTCTTAGCTTGACGAAATACTATCTGTTCAGGTAAACACAATGCTAATGAGCAGTTGATTAAGAATGTTGAAATAAGGTAAAATGACTTTCCTCGATCCGTGCGATTTGTTGTTTAAAACAGAACGATGACAGGACATTTTCTCCAAATAGCGCTCAATGCAGGATGCAATTAATTATCGAGAATACACGTAGTGCTTGGCCGTTGAAGAGTAGGTCGCGCTATCGAATATCGGCTACACTTAAGTGGGGGGGGGAATAGTAGGATCAATGCACTGAGATTAAGCTGGATGGTAAAAGACACGGGATGTTAATTATTTTTGAAACTTCCACCATAGAGTCACTCATAAATGATAGTTTTATGGAGTAATATTTTACCAAATATAATTGTTGTTATGAAAAACACACGTGGTTAAATCTTCCAGAATACTTATTGATTGTGCTATTGCTGTTTCAAATTTGAGTGATTCAAGGGTGAATTTCGTTGATATATTCGCTGGGGCCAAAATGGGCGCCTTGTGCCACCATATCTCGAGACTCGTCTTCAGGGCACGTTCTGCCACTGCGTTTGACACTCGTGTGGTTTCTGCAGACATCGCTTTTGTGCAGGTCGAGACGCCTGAGGACGCTTCAACTACCACCTACATATACGTGCCCTGCAAACGCATGGGAACGACACTGTTTGTTCTACTGAACAGTCTCGCAGTAGGTCATTAACGGATGAGGCTGTGTTGGGCTCTTAGCTTGACACCAACAGTGAAACTGTAGTCATAAGAGCGGTAACACATTTATAAAAGCAACTGGACTATATGCTATGCTATAACACTTTTTCAATTCGAAAGGGATATATATATACTCTCCTGTCTATCTCACCATGGTCGTCTATTACTCTTTTTCTTTCCTTTTCTCTTTTCCTGAGATATAGTAGCAGGCTAGAGCATGCTATCACTCTGGCCGACCTCTCTGTAACTAAACCCATCTCTCTCTCACTACATACACCATTTCTTAATCGGCGCTCAGAAATTTCGACTATGTCTGGAAAACATTGCCGATAAAAAAACAAATCTGTGGTGTAACATCCCGAAACCATGGTACGATAATGAGAGACGATGCAGTGGAGGGCTCCGAGAGTTTGGGATATCTGGTGTTTTTCAATGTGCGTTAACAGCGAACAGCACATGGGGCTTCACCATTTCGCATACACCGAAATGCGAACGCTATGACTGGAATGAAATCAGAGCCAGATCAGCAGCCAGATTAAAGGTCAGTAGCACAACACCTTAACCAACGCTCCACCACGGTGGACAAACTTTGCCGAGAGAGAAGGTCCTTGACATTTAGGTAGTGAACACGGAGTTTGTTTACTGTTACACACGCCATAGGTACACGAATTTTTTTGAGAGCTCAAGCTAGGCGTTCGCTCATGTTTTCAACTTACGGGTATGCAGTGCGCTTCCTAGCTGACGCTGAAGTATCTATGTAATGACCATCTGTCACTTATTAGGGAACTTGGTACCTGTCCTGATAAAGTTCTTGGGCATCTATGCTTCTTAATGTCTTCTGGCATCGTACGCAGCTGCTCCTGCTTGCTGCCCGCATCAGAGCAGGTTCAAATGCCCCATTTCATAAAGAACGACTAAATGTGATGAGCTGACTCGCAATCGAAGCGAAGCATTTCTCTACATTTAAAAGAACCCTTGTGGCAATCCTAATCATTTTAGAAGATTTCTCAGGTAACAAAGGTATCTGCTGTAAAGTGACGCTCCACGTTACGTACTACAATTCAGAAAAGCAATAAAGGAATATTTTTGCCATAAATCAGCCTTCTGGGTATTCACTTGAACAGCTGCAGTTGGCAAGGTCATACAAAAGAGTAAATGAAGTCTTATATTGGAAGGTATCGTGAGCATTCACATCATTGCCAAGAAGCCCCAAAACGCAAGGTGAAAACTGACTTCGAATGCATGAGCTTACGATAGGTGGTCACATGTCTTGAACGCCGGACAAGCGGCCGCAAGCCAGCGGAAGGCACCAGTAAGAAAAAAATCCGCCACTTTCACAAAGTGAATGATGATGAAGGAGCTTGCTTGGAACTAATTGGCAGATCCCGTGAATCCTCCGTAGATGTCCTCTACCATCATATAATGACTTGACACGTTGTTATAGGGGAGATTGTATATACACGTTATATATAAAGATGATGTTATCCTCTACATACCGGTGCAATTATATACAATGACTACAGTACTGGTTACGAGGCTGTAGAACGCATTTTTCGAAGATTACAGTTCTGTGGTCAGTGAATTATGTGGCACGGGGATCTTGAAATAAAGGTAGCAGTTGAACGTTGTTGAAGACAATGTCGATACAGGTCCCGAGTCGTGGTACTCTGTCCACCGCTTGCGTTCCGCCTCTGCTTCGCGGGCTCTCATTTCGGAGTCCACCCATCGATTAGCCTTATTCGCAGCACAAATGGCACATAGCGAGTTATAGATGTATAGTGGATACCTCGTTCATTAGCAGAACCATGAGTGAAATGGGGGCATTGTGGCTGCTTTTATACTTCATGAGAGTTATGGTGACTTTGCAGGGTGTACATTGCACAGCTGCAGCTCCTGCGTACAACCGAAGGGACATATCCCGAGTCTAAGTAGCTTGGTGAGCAAGCCCCTCAATACAGCGCCAGATTGCCGGTACCCCCCATAGGTACCACGGACACAGTAGGGCTTGAACCAGGGTCACTGCGCGCCTGCGCAGTATTTTATGACTGAGCCATGCCAGTGCTTGAAACTCTTTTGCAATCTTGCTTAAGGCAGGCTTGATGTCGGAACAGTAATCGCGTTAATATTTATAATAAAGCGTTTTAGAACAGCAAATAACAACCAGGCGTCACACAATGAGATAGGGTAACAAGTGGGTCGTCCAATGTTCCAACCCATTACAAAATCTTGTTCTTATTCACCTATTAACTGTGGCGCATACCCACTTCAGGCATAATTCTTCAACGTCGTCAGCCACTGCATGAACAATTGGCACAAAATTCCTTCCAAGTGTTTAGCAGATGCCACGCTTCTCAGAAGAATTACGAAAAATAGCATAGCGAATGCTAGTCTATACTACCCAGAAACTAATATTAATGCCATAGTGGGTTTCCAGCAAGTGTGCTCGCAGCAGTATCTCAGTGAGTGTTTAGAAAAGGCTCTGAAAGGCAGCTCTCCCAGCTTTCGGTGTGACTGTGCTGTGCCTTCTGCGCAAGCCTGGCATTTTTTGAGGATACCGCGTGCATTCACTTTTCCCTGGAGTTCTTTCCGGCTTGGCTAATAGCCACCTGTGTGGTGTTCTGAATCAGTCTGTGAGCCTCTGTACAGTTCTTAAGGATATAAACGCTGAAACGACGTGCTAACAAAGGAATTTTGTTACAGCAGTCAACCACGCACGTTTTCACTTGACCACTTGAATGAAAGCAAATATTACTATTAGGGGTGTTTTTCAGCAATATAAAGCAGTTATCGCGACGACTTGCTCATCAAAGTCGTTTTCCTGAAACAGTCATGTGGCGTTAAATTTGTGAAAAACTACACATTTCCGCGATGCTTACGCGAACTATTTACCTAATATGTTGGCATAAAAATGTTGTCATGGCGAAAGTCATCAAGGTCATGCTTTTCTACTGAAGAAAGTTAGTGCTACATTTGGTGTTTAATCGGCTAAATTGTGTTAAAAAACGGATGTTAGAGCTCAGCCAAATTAGAATGGGGAACAATCCGCAAGAAATATTTGTGACTGAAAGAACTCTTCAGTGAACGTGACGTTCGTTACTATGAGCTAGGCACAAGCACTTGAGCAATATATTTTAGTGAAACTAAAACAAAGAACAAATTGGTAGTCATGAGATAAGTTTTCTACTGATCACGACTGCGCTAAAAATTAATAAATGATATGCTATTACGGCTCTCTATTTTGTATCAACCAATCTACTGAACTCAAGTATTGACTTTATTGCTTGTTTAGCTTTTGAAACGCCACGTTTTTTACATTCTTATAACCCACAGTCGCATAGCTCAACCATGAATTTAGTATACCTAGCATGCTTTACAGCCTGGAGGTTAGTAATATGAAAACTTACTGCTACAACTGCTGTCGCCGCTTACGGGTACAATGACAATCGTGGCCAAGACGACAGCAATGCACTGCATGCTGTTTCTCGCAATGCAGCCGGCAAAAACTCCAGCACACGTAGCGTTCGACTTGCCGGAAACCTTGAAGCCACTCGCATTGTTTAGGCCGGAGTGCCGAAAAGAGTCTTCGATTGTTTCAACAGTGAAGCGCCACTGTAGTATAGGGCTGTGAAAATGTGATTTTATACCTTTGCATTGCATCTCTTTCGTTTATTTTACTTGCATGACGCAACGACTGCCAACGACATCAGCGTAGTTAATCAAAAACACTACCTACATCTATTTTGCGCAATTCTTAAGATTTTGTGTTTCTAGGACCACATGAGGTGTAATTTTCTTCATAAAGTCTAACAATAAACCTGACGCACATACACAATCAGGAGTCGTACAACGGTGCACTAGAGCACACTATTCAAGTGGGTGTGCCTCCTAGTTTAAAACATAATAATATATGAATGGCAGTAAGTGAACGCACGCAGCAGTTGTTTAAATAACATTTCTCATATGTAAAATGCCAAAAACGTCTTTACATGCCTCTGGCTGCAATAGCCATGCAGTCTATAGGCTCAAGAAAGCCTAGCGCAACATTCTGTATTGAAAAAAATTACAAGAATGACTTTCTATCTTTTTTACGTCATTACTGAAACGCAGATATAAAATGTTGTTATACTGCCTTGTATCGGCGACTTCCATATTGGGCATTTATTTGCGAAGAGAAATAAATTATCATTACTTTGATAATGCGTACGAAAACCGCGATATGAGTATGAGAGGCCACAGTGAAGGGCTCCTGAAATTTCGACTACCTGGGCTTCTTTAACGTGCCCCACACCTGAACACACGGGCCACAAACATTTTCGCCTCCATCAAAAATGCAGCTGCTCCAACCGAGATTTGAACCCGCGAACTTTCCGGTTAGCAGTCGACCACCACAATCACTTTAGCGGCGGGACAACAAAAAAATAATACTGTCACATGGGCATCATCTACCGTTTGCTAATGCGTTGTACTTCTTTCCGCACTCTTTTAAACTGGAACTTCGCGGATGTGAGATTTTCTACGATTATTTCCACATTGCATGCATTAAGTTGAATGAGCAGGTTCAATTAGAGTAAGGTGTATGCTAAATGTTACCATGGACCACTTATTTTGAAGAGATACTCGCCACCGTTTCAAAACACATCGACGAAAGCCAACTGTTACGATTTATTCGTTCACTTCGTACACAGTAGCACTTTTCCACCCAAAAGGGTGTAAATGAGCTTGTCCCGTAGACAACACCCTAAAGGTGTTAACTCAGCACCTTCGAAAAAGGGTGATTTGACGTGCACTCCAAGGGTGTACATGTAAAAAAACTGTAGGGTGTTATAGAAACAGCCTTAAAAGAGGCTGCCTTCAAAGTATTTAATTTTTTACACCCATTGGGGAGGGTGCCAGAAGGGTACACATGGGTGTTGAATGCACATGGGTGTTTACGGCACTGTGAATAAAACTCGGTGCCTCCCGCATTGAAAGTGGACGCTCTAACCATGTAGCCACGGCTGCGTTTAGATGGAGGTGAAATGATTGGATCTCGTGTACTGTGCGATATAAACGCACGTTGAAGCACACCAGATAGTGAAAATTTGTGGAGCCCTGCAGTACTGGATCCCCCATAATCATACCGTGGTTTCGGGACATAAAGTCCCAGATATTGTTATTGTGTGCTCGTCTTTTGTTGCGTATTTCATGTGAATTCATCGTCACCTACGCCCTTCTTAGGCACAAAAGTGCCCTTAGAGACAATTATAGGGTGCTATTGAGGCAAGCACCCAAACAAAGGGGCGCTTTTTTGAAATTGACAATTTATGGGTGTTAAAGTGTGTGACAAAGGGTGTTATAGTAAAAGAAATCTTCTTGCGCCCTTTTGGGTATAAAATTTTTCACTGTGATAGTATGACCTCGCGAAAAGGAAGCTTGATAAACTTGAGATGTTACCTGGGCTTTTGCTATTTGCAGACAACCTCGGTGTATCGCAATAGTTTATCACCATGCTTAAAATAAATTGGCCAGTTGCATTTTCAAAGCTAAGGACACAAGGTCCACAAATATCGCGAGCTCTGTTTATTCCTACGATAAATAAGGGCCCCACTAGTCGGAGGCGTCTTTCCGCAATTTCTTACGATGATGTAGTTTCAAAACAAAGCGATGTACGCATCGTGGTAGTATACAGTTCATTTTGACGCGAAATTGATATGGAATCGATACGGAACCTATTCATACGGAACCTATCGATATGGGACCAATTGATACAGAACTTCATGATATACAACTCATTTATACGGAACTTATTGATACGGAACTTACTGATACGAAACCACTTAATATGGAGCTAATGATACAGACACTATTTATACGGAACCTATTTATACGGAACTTATTTATATGGAGCTCGTTTATTCGGAGCCTATTTATACGGAACTTATCGATACGGAACTGCATTGATACCGAACCTAATGGTCGCACTTGTGCTGACGAATTGAAAAATTACTAGCAAAATATGTTCTACAGTTATAACGGTGATTGCAGTCGTAAGCCGTCAATAATCTTTTTTGTCAGTGGAGCATCTGTTCTTCTATATATTAACGGTCGAAACTTCCATCTTTTTTGGTGGCAGTCGCCATGCGATGCGGTCACACAATGGGGAATGAACCTATTTGTATGCCTTTTTGGAATTTTTCGGATGGCGCGGAGAATAGTTGGGTGGTTTTAGGGTCTTTTTTGTGCGTAAGAGACGAGTAATTTACTTGTTTTACTCCTGTATGATTAGCTAAAATAGAGACTATCGGGGTGACATACTCGAGAGTTATATTCTCAAAGAGATCAGATAACTAAGCTTCTCATTGACTGAAATTGAAACCCTCATAATTCACATGCCACTAACATGCGGTGAAGATGAAAGAATATTGCCATTGGTCATACTATGCAGAATGTGATGGAAGACAAAAGAATATACATGACACATGCTTGAGATAGCTTTGTTTATTTTTGTCATGCTTCGTGATTTTCCTCTCCATCCGCTCCCATTTGTTTGTTGCGTAGAGGATATTTTACACTTTACAATATAGGTCGGTTCTTTCTATTAGGGCGAAAGCCTTACATTTCTCATAAAACACAAGAGGTGACCTCCTGTGCAGACGTCAGTGGTGCAAAATATCATCGTGATACAGCGATGCTATCTTATTACACCATCGTAACATCGCAGATAGCAAGAAACTCAGATGTCATCACAGAGTCACAGCGATGTCATTGTGATGTCAAAGTTAACAATGATGGCGGAGAGAAAGAGGTTCAAGTGTCAGAAAGCGTCGCTGATTGAAGGTGGAACTAGGGATAAGGTCGCCTCCTGGCGCTGTCTCAAAGAATAATTGAAGATTACGGCACGACCTAATTAAAGGGACACTAAAGTCAAATGAAAATGTATGTAAGAGTCAAAGGTTAATGTATGGCAACAGCCAGAACGACAATATTATCAAGAAAAGTGCCCTACTTAGCGAGAAGGCAAATGCACAAAAACACGGGCGCCGCAGTAGGACATTTCAAGATGATCCCCATAACATCAGACGAACTGCCTACAAGTAATCACTAGTAATCGATCTAACTGCACTAAATAAAGAACTTTCCATGCATCAAGAGACGGAATAAAATGCTGATTATTTGTTTCTGTTTGAGTCATAGAAAAAAGAACCGCTGGACGCTGGGGAATGGCGCGAGTGGTTCAAAAATTTGATTTTCGCATGGTTTCACCGAACAGGTGGCGACATCTAGTGGGGTGCAGTTTAAACAAAAGCGTCTGTGATCTTGGAACCAGTGGAGGGAAATTGATCAGTAGCCGTTTTCGCTGCTGTGGCTCCCACTGTTTTCGGTATGCCGCTACTAGCGCAGTAAAACCGGGCAACGTTGTGCACGGCAACAGTGACGTGAGACGGACTGGTCGATCTTCTTCTTGAGGCCGGGAATTTGAAGCGCGCTAACCCCCAATGCGGACCACTAAAACGTGATTTTATTTCAAAATATGTTCTTCCTTTGCACAAAAGTAACACTACGAGGTTTCTGGACCGCCATTTCAAGAATCAACGTCGAAATAATGCTTGACTCTAGCCTCCCTTTAAGGGTAACTCAGCACGTGTGTTGTCTGCCTTGATGTCCAGTCGCGATTTTTTTGGGGAGGGCGTAAGCGGGTAAAACAATGTTAAGCCGGGGGCAGAAACGTGCTAAGATTTCCACCGGGCAATGTGTTGACGCTCGTAAAAACGGGACTTCACCTATTAAAAACGTGCTGAATTAGACGGAAGCTTAGGAACGATGTGTTGCAAGAGCTCATCGCGTAGTTCATGGCGATGACGCATTACTACATGTTACCGCTCCTACACTCTCAGTCCGGTACTGTATAATGAACTGCATAGACGCTGCGTGCCCCTACGTACTGAATCAAATCCCACTCGTAGAGAGTCCAGAAAAAAAAAGATATCCGTGATGCGTATCAAAATGTCGCGATAAGCGGTATAAGCCAAGTAGGGCTGCGCCGATTGCCACTAAATCTTCACGATGCATGCGGTGTGACGGTAAAAAAATACAGAGAAGAAACAGGAGGTAAGCAGAGCGCAGGCCTGCAGAGGTTTTTGACACACAGCGGCCATTATGTGACTTGGATTTGATGCAAAAATAAATAACATGTCGCTTCGACTCTCAAAACACAAAAGTTTATCTTTTACTTTTATCAATATATTTCATCTATGTCATTGCTAGGAGCCTGTAAAGCAAATTTCTTTTAATTTACGTAGGACAGTTTTTTTCCTGCATGCTCGCGGATAAAATAGATAGAATATACGACCCCTTTTCCGCCCTCTGCCAAAAACTCGCCGGGGTCCTTAAAAATTCTTCTTCAAAATACCCAGAAGCTACTAGGGATTTCTCCAGACTCCTACGTAAACTAGGCCAACTGCCGCACTTGTCTTGTTTACACACTATTGGCAGCAACGAGCGCTCTTCATTGGACAAATTCGAAAAACGTAGGAGCTTCCCGCATGGGCGGCACCTCAAGCATGACGTAACAGGGAAAACGAAATACGGAATGGATGTACGTTATATGGCTGCTGGCCTGTCATGTGCCAGCTTGGGCCTGGCGTTACTGGTGGCGCGGCTGACGTGGCACCAGCAGTGATGCCAACTTTAGGAATGTATCCCTCAATTTAGGCATTTTTATTCTTCTTTAGCGATTTGGTACCATTTACGTTGAAATTAGGGATTTTCGTAAGGCTCTGCGAATGTGAAATTACGCCTCTTGATTGAAGGTATTACAAAGGAACCACGCTCTTTCATCTGGAAAGTCTGTAAAAATAATAATTTAGGCTATGCAATGTTTTCTTTTATATGAAGTTAATCTTGGTTTTTCGACGACCGGTGTGGGAGAAGCAGTTTTGTAACGTGAGAATAATATAGTCTGAATACTGGGAAAAACTCTGCAGTCATAAGAGTTGGGCACGCGCATATCTTGAGCTCCATGAGTGACTGCTGCAATGTGCAACAAAGATAAATTTTGCGATGTAGTGAGCATGAACACGTATCAAGATGAAGCTCACTGTGCGCCTTTATTGCGCTATGCTTCCGTGGGAAATAACCAGGCATATTATAGAAGAACAGAGCTAAAGTAGGACTTAAGGTTTGGTGAGATGGTATACGGGTTCAGTATTGCGAAAACGGTGTGAATAAAAGAGACAAAATGGCTGTGCGGGTGTTTCCGTCTTTTCGTCGTGCCCTTACTTCAGAGCGAAAAATTGAAGTATTGATTTCGCAATACGGAGAGCTGGTCAAAAGTGCAGAAGAAATGCATAGCTATCAGCCAGTAATAGAGCAACCACTTGCATCAACCGGAAATATTGTAAGAGTGATTGTAAATGTGGAAAATTAAAACTTGACCAGCAGCTGTCAAAGTGCTACTACAAGACTGGTGATACAGTATTGTGATTACTCTAAAGATGTTGAAAATTAGCATAAAAGTTGGTTAATGGTGATTTCAACCTCTATCAAGATTTAGAAGAACTTGGGCTCAGAGCACAAAGACATAGTACTTTATTAGGAATGTATTAGCCTGAATGAGGACATAAAAATATGCTCCAGGCATTTTTCGCCCCGCCGCGGAAGTAACACTATCAAGACGACCATGAGCCCTTTGAAAAATAGGGTTCCATTTATACTACGCGTTTGGGCACTTCAGAGTGTGTGGCGGTGGCGCAGTGAATGGCGTGCCCGGCAGCTGTTTTTATGGGCCGTTAAACGATGGGATAGACTCCTGTTGACAGAACTCGCGATACTTTTATACCGAAATATTGCCCAGCCCTGCTACGTACCCATAAGCGAAAGCATGCCTAACCCCCCCTTTCTGCAATGTCTTTTTGCACGACAACAAAAAAATTCAAATATTTCAACACAACTTTATTAACTTTCGTCGCGCAGTGCTCCTCGCCTGCGTAAAACTTCTACCTGACTTTTGAGTTCCGGCTGGATATCCCCTAGATCAACTCCTTCGGGATACAGTCTTTGGAATTCTGCGAACTTTTTTAAAACAGAATGGCCAGAAACAATTGAACCGATTGTCTGTGTACTCCGCAGATGACTTCTAAACAACAGCTTGTTATATCCCGCAGTACCAGGAAAATGTGGAACTGCTGAATTAACTCCGGAAATGCCGAAATTTGCAGCACCATGCACTGGCTTTCTTCCAGCAGACAATCCTGGGGCTGTGCTACCTTGTACTGAGAGGTGTGCAGTCAATGGACCCGTACTGAGGTTGATAGGACCGGGAACGTTTCCCATAGAACTTGATGTAATAGCAACACCACCGCCTTGCTGAGCTACATTGCCAGAGGGGCTTGATGAGACAACTGTTCGATATCCATTAGACACTGCTATGACTGTTGTGCCACCTGTAGGCACGCCTGCTGACTGGGCTGCAAAGCCATTTATACCAGATCGTTCGACATTATTCGAGTTTGTACCACTACCTACATTCGTCAATGTATTCCTTATGGTGTCGGCTGAAGGTATCACAGATAGTGTCATCGTACCGCTATTCGGCTTTACTCCTGGGGTAATAACGACAGGTTCCCCCAGACTATTTGGTGTAATTAGGTCAGAGGAGTGCGTTCCACCAGCAGGAAGGCTATTACCTTCTTTGTTCGTCATACCACGTGTAAGATCGCCTTGAGGCGTGGCGTGTGCACTTATGGAACTTGCGGTGGTACTGGCTCCGCCGAAGTGGGAAGCATTGTGCGGCGCTGCACTACCCCCTAAACTTTGTAAGACCAAAGATGGCTGCGCACCGATTGTATTAATTTCGACATTAGAAGAAGTTGTGGCACTCAACGTTGATGAAATGCCTGAGTTTGGTTTAAAATTGTTGCCAGTCCCGTGTACGATTACAGTTACACCGTGAGTAGTCGGGACTGTGTTCACGGAGTTTGTGGTTACGCTGGTTCCAGGATGTCGCACACCGCTAAAAGATACGTCGTTTGGTCTATTATAAGGTTGGGTGAATGTTGATGGCATGCCTAGTGTGCTTGCTGTGGCAGGGGAATGAACTACACCACTTAATGCGGTTGAGGTGCTTCTGACTGAGTGAATATTGCTGTTAAGACTGCCATCCAAAGCTTCAGAACCACTAGAACGTGCATTGGTAGGGGTCCCCGCTAATCTCGAAGAATGCATTGGGAGCGTGCTGAGTAAGATTTCCCTAATATCGGAGGCATTTACAACAGGCACAGAGAGCGGTGCATTATCGGTACCTACGATGAGTTTACGATATGCGTCTGGAAAAGATGTCATTCCTGGAATGCCTCCTCCGACATGGGAAGTTCCTGGTGAAACTGTGGTTGCAGTGGTCAGTGTACCTGCGCCACTACTAACTGCAATATTTACGGTGCTTGCTGGTTGGAGTTTGTCTCTCAAGTTTAAACCAAACCCCACATTACCTGTAGAAGAAAGGGGAAAGCTGCCGGCTGTGCTAACTGCCGAACCACTTATAGCTGAAGTAGCTGCGGGACGGTTTGTGATTACTGTGCTTAAGGTTCCTCCGTTTTCTATAGAAACTGAAGGGTGTAGACCCGGTGTACCCTGAGTTAAAACGTTACCGCTTCCGGTAACGACACCAACACCAGGTGCTATAGTCAACATTGTACCTACCCCAGTAGTTCCATTGATTTTTATCAAGTTGCCCAAGGAACCCTGCAAAAGCGTACCGCCAGGAACCACAGTAATGGCACTTGGGTGTACCGTAGTGCCTTGCGCTTGATTTGCAACACCACCTAGACTTGCCCCACTATTAGTATTAGCATTCTTTACGAGTGTAACAGGAAATTGTGTACGAATGTACCAGGCACATTGTTCCTGGAGCACGCATATTTTCCTTCCGTACTGCACAAATTCTGCAAACCCCTTATCGCAGACACATTCGCCCCTGTAGCAAGTGGTCTTGCACTCTTTAGACGGAGTTATGCCACATTTTGGTGCGCAGCTGCGTACGCAGGGCTCGAACTGGGAGTGCGTAGGACACACTGGTGAACAGCTCTTCACCTTGATGCACCTTTTCCAATTGTCCTGGTCCCTTGAAAAATTCGGAAAAAGTTAAAAAAAAATTAGGGCCATGAAATTAGAAGCAGAATATGATTTCGTAATATTTGCTATATTTTAAATTGTTAAATAAAACAAGAAGCACTCACGGGCGCACGCAAGAAACTTGATACCAGTGTCCATGTGTCATTTTTGTGCCTATTTGAATTGCGTTTATATAACGTAACTCGGCTTACCTTACTACAGCTATTAGATATTTTCAACTTGTTTTCAAATAAACAAATCGTTAAAATTTTGAGAGAAGATAGCATGTGCTTCAGAAAAAGAAATATCTCGTAGAAAATAGCGATTTTATGGGCGGTATGCTCCGCTCATTGAACATTTCACAGAACTGTGCCTCTGGGACGTTTAGACAGTAATCCACAAACATAGGACATTTCTCTAGTAGCACAGAATGTTGCCATACTGTTGGCGCAAGTTGTCAGTATTGCGGCAATGTCTTGTCAACATTTCGTGCTGCTAGGCTAGTCGCTCGACCTGTTTTGTGGCAAGAAAAGACTTTCTAACATTCTCTTTATACAGCGATAACTTCCTGTAGATGACGCGTTAATTGTTTGCTGTTTTTCCTGGACAATTTTAACGAGTAGTTACATAGCGAACACACATGTGCATAGCTATAGATCATACTGGGACGTATATGCAATCTACGCTGAAATTTGCGTGGGCCGTAAATCGTAGCACAACAAGCAGTGGTACCTGAGGCAGCCACCATGCTTACTTTCACCGAGCTGTTGGCTAGTGACACGAAAAGCTCTTCTCAATACGAAACGTGGTGTAATATGTTTTGCTCGAAGTTGGGCAATACAAACCAACGACAAAAAGCCTATGCACTGATAGCACTCCCGAATATTTACGGCAGCCCGATGAGATTCTTGTAAACTTCCACGTAAAATACGTAACAACATTGACCCAGCTTTTGTTGGAAATAGCTTGAAATGAACTTCAGTAGTTATTTTGGATTCCAAGCGCAACCATTTTCATTTTAGACCAATATCTGTAACCCTACTTGACAAACGTTATGAATCAATATTCTTATGTCTTGATCTAAAAACTCTTTGCATGTTTCTAATTAGGAATCAACCATTTCTTTCGACATGCAGAATCACTGATAATACAAAAGCATCTAGAGAAGCAATCTGACTGTTCTCCAGTCAAGTGCCAACCTCAATGACAGGACTGCTAAGGCTCAAAAAAGAACACTTATTCTAGAGGTTCATACTTTGGAGGATTGAAATGGTGATATTAGTTATGAAGAATTTTTCAGCGTTAGCAACGCAGTCATATACAATTATCCATCCGGTTATGTTTGCCTACAAAAAGACTTCCTGAAGTGCACCGCGCCTCAGTCACAACAGAGCAACAGTTTTATTATTTAGTTCATTTTGCGAAAGCATACAGTTTCACTACAATACTACCTTTGAGTGAACAATCGCACAAAAGTGAAGACGGTGACCAACTTTATTCAGGCTCAAAAGTTATTCGTTTTTTTTTTACACAGATTGTCTTGGATACCAGGCTTTACAATGAGCCAACCGCTCACTACTTTCCTATCATCTCGGTAAGTGGTTCACGTCCAAAACGTAGCCCAGTGGCCCATCTATTTTGGCCTCCACCATGCCCTCAAACAGAATTTTGAAAGCCTGCGACCTTATATAGACGACAGAAGTGGTCAGAAATTGATTTCAGCCTCTCTACTTGCATGCTATCCCCATCCCCGCCCAGCACCCCTTGTGCACAGCTCACAGGTTGACCATCAAGAATGTGATCTGTGTCACGCATATGAAAATGCCGTGTGCTTCTTTCACATATAATTTTGATAAATAACTTGTGTTGCACCAGCTCCGTGCTTTGTAATATTTATTACTTAAGAATGTTGCTGTTCATTTACACTGCTCTTCTAATTTTTGTGTAAGCTAATTTTTATGCCCCCCCCCCCCTAACAAGCCTTTTCAGTCATTTACACTGACACGATTGAGCATTCACGGGATTGCGCTGTGGCCACAAACAATACATTAAGAAGTCAGGGAATAAGAAGGGATCGGAAACTCACAATGCCCAACCTGGCGGGCAGTCGCAACCAGGAACGCATGTCTTGCTGCATGACGTGCGTACCGGCATGTCGCATGCCACGGGGCAGGCTGTCGCACACAAGTTCCAGTCCTTCTGTGGTCGACCTTTGCACCGTCTACACATTGTCAGTGGTATGCAGTCTCCCCACGAGTTGCGGACGTAGCCACGCTTGCAGACGCAGTGGCGGAGTCTTCTCATTTCCCAGGTTGGCGTGAACAATGGTCTGCAGAATCTGTCACGTCGAGGTCTCTGTGCCACGGCCACTTCGAATTCATTGCATCTTTTAGAGCCGCAGTCTGGAAGAAATATATGGTAAGGATGACGACAACTAAAAGGAAAAAAAATCGTGGATTGTTTTGCTTGTTTGTAATAGCTGACATCAATGACGGTAAGCTGCGCAAACGCGGACGCAGGAGACTCAGTAATAAGAGATACACTGCTTAAGCTAAAGATGTCACCAAGGGACCCTGATACATAGGGCGTCACTCAAGCAGCTATTGCGAGCGTTCCTAATGGTGACGTACTTGTGTGCACTGACAGCCACTTTGTCTCCACAGAGATCGGTAGACGGCTCGCGTAAGTGCTTCGCTCTGACAGCTCATTCCGCTTTCAGATGCCATAGAAAATATAAACCGAAATATGTCAATGCTCGAGGAACTATTATAACGGGGCGAATGCTTTTCTGTGTACCCTTTGAGCATAATCAATAAATTTAGGGTCAAGTCCTCACGCACAAACTACGGTGCCCCAATGTGAGGAATTCCTTTAGTCTTTGTTTTGAATGTTTCAGCACGAAATGGTATGTGGATATTGATGTATGTTGTAGGTCTGAGCTTCAAGAGTTTTTTCTGTTGAAGCTTGTATCTGAGATTTCAGTGGTCATACGAGCAATACTATTTTGTTAAAACTCTTGAAAATTGGGAGAAGAATTTATGGGGTCCCTTTTGATCACCTCACATAATAAATTCCTGCCTTTCTGCACCACAAAGATGATTATGAAGCACAAACAATTGACAATGTTACAATAAACATGCAACGCACACTTTATTGTAAAAAAGAAGCGATAGATGGCGTGATGTTTCGTGGCATTGTAAACCTCAAGAGGTTTCACATTGTCTTGGCGTCTTGCTAGAAACAATGCTGCCTTTTTCGGCTCATTCATATTTGTACACACCGAGGAGAACTTTCCTACGGATTTTATATTCAGTATTCTGTACTGTGACATGTTTTGTATAGAATACAATACTTCAGTGTCTGTTCACATTGGCTCGAAAAGATGATGGAAAAGCTCTCTGTGTTTTTTAGCAAGCCCTGGTGATAAAACGTATTTCAGCAAAGGAGGCTTACGAATACAAACCGAAAGAGGGCACCACAGCACTGAGCAATAAAATTTGTCAAAGTCCAGTATTCAGTAGTATCTACGGCATATTCTAATGTTTATTTTTTTGTTGTGGCCTATATATTTCACATCTTGCTGTGGGCGTTCTGTACGTGCATATAGACTCTTAGATATCTCTTGATTTTTCTCAAAGCTGTCTATTCGTTGATGTCAGCAAATTGACGCACAAAGAAGACGGAGGAAAAAGTTTCAGAACTTAAAATGTTAAATGGGGACCGCAATACTTTTCAAGCACCCGTGGAATAGATTTCCTAAAGGCGCTTATTTTCTTAGAAATTCAGTGCCACGAAATTTTGGGAGTCTCTATAGTACGAGCGGAGTTCGAAATATTTTTCGCATGCTCGAACTGTATTCCTTTTTTCGTCCTGTCGAAAGCCCTGACAGTTACGCAGTGAGGCTTGATACGGAGAAAAAATACGTCATGCGCGCCTCGTGACCTTGAGCGCTTTCTCTCTCTCTTACTTTTTTTTCTTCGAATGCATGGCTTTAAGGTGCGATTGTGAGTGGGCGTGTGGACAACTAGCGACCTTCCACGGCAGCCTTAGTAACGACTGAATGAGCCATGCTCAAATCAGCCAACGGCGGATACCTAGCCCGAGGCGCGGTGATTTGTGGCTGATTTGAGGCCTGTAACACCATTTGTCGAGAGAAGAAAAAATAATTTTTAACTGATTTTGAAAACTTCTGGCAAATTCTAGGCCATGCGCTGCGCTGTCGTACATAGCACGAAGATACTCGGGAGTCCCGATTATCAATTGACAGCAATTCCTCGTCATCCTCACAAAGTGTTGCAGGGCCATTTTAAACCATTTATCATTGATTCTAAAACCACCTCCTGTCTCTCATGTCATCATTATTTATGTCCACAAAACAATGGTATCACAAAAGTGATTATAAGATGCAAATGCTGCTCGAAACCGCCACAAGTACGTACTTGTGCGGAGGGTTTTACCGCCGGTTATTTGCAAAAATACTGTATTTAGCGGTTTTCTTTCTAAATGCCTGAGAACGCAAGCATCTTCAAAAGCTATAACAGCTTTAGAAGCAGCTAACGTGGTTGCTTGGGCGAGTTGGTACGACGTGATTCACATAAAAAATAGCCCCAATAACGAGGGACAAGAGAAAGAAGGAGACAGACAGTGGCACTGACTTTCAGCTTTTTTACCGCCATTAGGCGTCATCGGGACCAGAGGATACATTAAATTTATGAGGCTCCAGAGATATAAAGGCTGGGAAGTGCATGTGTCAGCAGGCCTTCGATTGCACTATCACAAAAAGAAATAGACTTTCTTCGGAACGTTAGCACACGTGTTGTTCATTTTGCGTTGTGGCGATGATTACGTAGTTTTTAGATGAATTCTGTTTTCTTTGTTTTGTATTTTTCCTTTTTTTTCAGATACTGCCCAAGTATATATTTTGCGATACTGGCAAATAAATCTTGTTGTAAGATAGTGCCGCTGTCTGTCTCCTTCTTTCTCTTGTCCCTCGTTATTGGCGCTGTTTTTTATGTGAAGCTTTAGAAGGTTTGACTTCTAAGTATGAAGTAAACAATTTGAAGTAAACATGGCAGCTATTATTATTGACAAAACTGCAGACAGATGAAAACCTCGTAGCTTAAGTAAACGTGGTGCATTTTTTTGCGTTCGGGAAAACTTGTCAAAATTTTAATTAACCAAATTATGTTTTTTAACAGACAAAACACTTGTGACCTGCATGCAGTTCATGGTCTGCTTAGTCCACGAATGTAATTGTAAAAAATGAAGATCCAACAGATCGCGCACATTCTCGAAGGCAACGCTACGTGAAATATTGTATGAATAGCGGCTTAAGCCAGATTTTTTCACAGTTTGGAGCTGAGTGCATGAGCTCTTCCGATGCCTTTGTGTAATTTCAGGAGCTGTTGGTATGTCATGTGGATGCCAGGTACGTTAATTGCAATGACACTCGAATGATATGCGATGGTCTGACGTAACGTCGACACTCACGTTGGGGTACAGATGTCAGTTTTGCGATAAGGGAACGGCATGCTTCAATGCGATGATAGGCATATTATAAGCTGTGGGTTTCGCCATAATACGCCGGGTTGAACAATACTTGGATCTTGGTGATTCATTGAAGGTTGGGTGTACTGCGTATTACTTTTTTATGAAAGCGACCAACCAACCCTACGATAACGTTTCACGTTGCCTTGCTATGACAAGCGTACAGGTTTTTTTTAAGGAAGTAGTTCCAAGCCATAGGTATGGCTCAGTGATAGAGCACTTCTGTTCCACGCAGAATGTCTGGGTTGTATTTCCGCTCCAACATTGATTTTCATTCGTTACACCCCACTGATGTTTTCTTTTACAACGCTGCCGATCCCAGCGACGGATTTATGCGACCATAGTTATTTAACGCAGGAGAATTCAGGCTTCACGAGTGGACAGTGCCACTGAATAATGTAGATATAAAACATATGTAGGTTGATAAACAGTGTCAATTGCCCGAAGTTTATACTCTTTCGATGGATAGACAGGCTCATTTGTGCTAGCAATGACTGAGAGAAAGGTCTTCATGAAGTAACCGACAAATTTCTCGCGCTTTAATGTAATGGCAATTTGGTTCATCATACCGAAATGTCCTCTGGCACGAGCTATGCCTTGTGGTAAGTCAGAAGACAACCACAAAAGCACCTAGCGTAAGCGGCTAGATAAACGCAAAGTTATTGTTGATGAGCCTCACAAATTTATTACATTTATTGAACCTTGATATATTCGGCAGCAGTCTTTATATTTACTGTACACACATCGCGGAATTGTAAACAGGAAGACGTACGCTGCAGTAGGGTAACTTAACGCTTCATGTAAAAATTGTGCTTGCTGTGTTTAATAAAATCTTGATATATATTCATAACCACACCACTGCAGGGTAAACTCGTTTGCTAAACAGTGCAATTAAAACGCCTATGAAGGAGGCTTACTCGAAGAAATGCTTTTGTATAATATTCACATTCACACATAACCATCTTCATCTCTACGGTCTCATGTATAGATGTTGGTAGTAATACGTACACCTCTAGAATATTATAACACACATTGCCTAATAAAACGTTATTCATTCACTTGTTTTAATTGTTTATTAGTTTTGAAGCTGTGAATTTTTATCTATTGGCCAGCGATGTACCTATCTTTTCTCATGCTGTCGTTCTCCCCTCTACCATGCTCGAAAAATTGTGGTTGAACTTGAGTTTAATTCAACGCAGCTCAATTTTTTGTTCAGTTTATACATGCTGGGTGATTCCGTTGGGTTAAAATCTATATCAGTACCTTGACAAGATTTAACGACCAGTTGTAGTGATCGTGTTAATAATATTCAATAGTGACTTGCGATGGTACAGACAACCTATTAAAAAACCATACTCACTTGTACAGTTAGGGTGACCGCTTACCACCACAGCAATAGTGAAGGCTAGAAAAATTTGAGCACAGTACATCCTACTGTCCAGATGACTAGAAATAAAATTATATGCTCGGCTATTTGTTAAGTTTCGCTAAGCTTTTTTTTTTTGTTGTTGTGAGCACTACACAGCTGTGCGTCGGTCAGCTGCGGTCATTGTTTGAACGGGGCTGTCTCGCTTGGCACTGTAAAATTCAAAACAATGAGCACAATGAAATGAGTATTGTGTAATAAATTGCACTTAAATTAGATTTAATTGTGCTTGTGATGTTTGTTTTGTGCTACTTTGTTGAGGTGCTCAAAATTTCATCAAAGAAACAAACTATCTTTAGCAATCTACAAAATCTGAATAACTGAGCATGTTCAATTTCATGATAACGCTAGATGAAGTCTGACAGATGTATACTTTGTGAGCATATATATATAGAGAGCTTCGAAAGTGCCCCAGCTCCACTTTTTAGAGTAAAATAGGGCTCCCTAATTTAGCCCCATTCATTCTGCGAATAATTTGCTGAATTGGTGACTTACCGACTACGCGTCAATCTAGCCACACACCTATTCATGCAGCTGCGCGCTTTGTTAATACTGCTGCTTATGATAATGATTAATTATGACTGAGTGCTAAACGAGTTGATGGACTCTTAAACCACCCACTTCTTCTGCAGCTAAACAAGCTGTGACGCCGGCTGCTTTCCTACATACGCATGAATGCCACTGATTGTGCTATAAAACTGGTGTAAGTTTCTTTAGAAACTTTTAGCTATTGCTAAGACTCTATGGTAAACATCTGTTTCGCACACAAGCAGGACTGAGTTGTGGCTTCAACCCATGATTTTAAATGCAGAGGTTGCAAGCGTTGTACCCCAACAAACTTTGTCACTCATTGACTAGCTCCTAACATCGAATCTGAAAGCACGTATTCAAGTTATCTTCTAAGGTAAGAAAAACCTCTCTTTTGTTTTTCACATAAAAACAACGTGTGTAAAGTACAACACAATGATTTATATATTTTATGTTGCTCAAAAAACGTTTTTTGAATATATTTTGCCAAATAACGGAAAGAAGCTGTCGAAAATGAGCGGGCTATTTTCTAAAGCTCTTGTTGTCCACCGATTTAGGGCACATCGGCAGAGAAATCCGGGTGGCATTAAGGACCAGTGTTTGTAAACATTAAAAGGGTCTATAGTGCCACGAATACTCGCAAATATATGCTCAAATGTATACTCCTGCCGTATGCTTGCCTCTCGTGCCAATTGTTGCTTCCCCTCCCCCCTTCTCACGCCTCGTAAAGCTGATGCAGGCAGCGTCTGACAGGTGAAACCGACTGCTCATGTTGTACAACCGTTTTCTTGCCACCCCGTATATGAAAGCACTGCATCACACATCATCGTCCAACCGCTCGTTGAAGGCAATGGTTCTTGATTGAATAAATACAAATAATAAATACAAAATGACAATTAAACATTCCCGAGCCATACTCAACTATGCAACATTTACGTGGTACCCCCTTCTCCTCTCACTCTGCGACGCATGCATTCGAGTTCCCCCATGTGAAGATGCAGATGGTTTTTTGTTAATAATGGCATCGATCAAGACCTTTTAATGACAACAAACGAGGACGTAGATATCATAATTTTGGCAAAACTAAACCCTCAACCTTATTGTGCTTTCCCTTTTTGTAAACCTGCCCGAAATTTCACACGCATGGCATCCAGAATGAGGAGTGCTCACAGTGTGTCTTGCGCAATCAGTAAAGTCTACTTGAAGGCTAAAGTAATTTAACACCATTTTTTTAGTCTCATCATACTCGCCCCCATAATCGTCGTCAACGACCTAATCATCGTTATCAGATCTATCTAGACAGCTCACACCAGTAGTCACGAAGTTCATGGAGTCTCTGGCTGCTGCCTCTCATGATGATGAACGGGTCTGTAGCTCAGGCCATCATAATAGGTCGGCAGCTTTCACCGAGGGTCGGTGCGCAATTCACTTGGTGTGATGCCAAGGGGGTACTCTGGCACGATTCTGCTACGCAGTGTTGCATAAGTTATAGCTACTTCTTGACCGAAATGAAGATTGTATGTTTCGCTGAAGGGTTTCAAGCAATCGTGTGCTTCTGTGGTATACCAAGGTAATACCATGTACAATGCTAGTAACTTCATTGTCTCGGACAATCATTTTACTGATTTCACCAGTCAACTGGAGTTTTTTGTACTGTATTCCACTTTTTTCAGGACACTGTTTAATGAGGCATTCAAGGCTTTTGCCTGGAACAGTCCCTGCATAAGTGCACTTTTCACCGTTGCCTGGCATGGCGCACACACACCCCTGTGGGGCGCACTCAGGAAATTACACTCCAACGGCTCTATTTGCAATGGTTCCAATGTGGCACTCGAGCCCCAAATTACTCATCAAACGCAATAATTTACTAGCGTTCTGCGTCGCCGACAACACAAATGACGCAGAATATTACCAGCACGTCATTGCGTCACCATATCGTCGCATTTGTCATAGCTTCGTCGGGATGTAACTCAGACGTCATGTCATGGATGTCACATGACGATATCATCACATTACATCGTCGGTCAGTCAAAAGGCGGCCCAACACGGAGCGACTAAATCGTACGGGGTACACAAAACATTCAATGCCTCTGATCCTGGAGGCAGTAGAAAACCACGTTGAGTGGAAGGCTTTCGGTCAGTGCGAGAAAGGATCGATGTATTCACTAAGAAGAAGAAAGATTACTTTCACCCTATGCAATGACTTTCGCTTTCGACTCGCCTTATATGAATCCATAGGCTGCATTGCTAATGTAAATGCGAAGCATTTAGCGAGCCAAGGCCCTTTGAGCGTTCCTATCTACGTATATGTCTGTAGCCCCCTGCCTCAAGGTGGTCTTATGATCGTCTCCTTATTATGGTGTAGACCAAATCGGCGTGGTATAGGTAAGACGGTTTGAAGTGTGTTACTGTCTGATCCTGACATGAATAGTGAATAGTGTGACCATTCCTTCCCTCTTGAAACGGGTGGCACATGCCCCTATGCCACGGGCCCTGGTGTGCGCCTTGTGCAATTTAGAGTTTGTATTTTTCAATGAACGTTGAGAACACGTCGTTGGCTGTTTAAGCGAGAGAGATAAGGAAAAGCCGGCGTCGGCAGTGTTGACCCGACTACTGCAAAGAATAAGAATCAGGACCCAAGCAGATGTTGGCTCCGAGTCTCTCGCGTGGCAGTCAATTATTGAAACACAGAGCCAAGCTGTATTTTGAAAACGCGTGGGATAAATATCTTATGAAGCCATGATGTCGGTGCAGTGTTAAGTGTAGTTGCAGTGCGTTCCACGTAAAATATTTATAGCAAAACAATGAACATTGCATATGTACGTATTTGATACAGGCATCTGGCTGAGTTAGTTTCAATTGTGACTCCAGTGTTGGCTCCGCTTTTCTTGAAGCCCAATGAACATTACATCTCTGTTACTGTTATTCTGTGACCTATATTCAAGAGTTGCTGGATCAATGACAAATACGCTTACTAACATCACCAGCGATATCGACATTGCCCGAATAGTTGCCCTTTGTATGGCTAATACTGATCCCAGAGCCCTAAAGTATTAGCTGACATTATATCGAGCCATATGTTTCCTTATACACTCCATCCGCTGCGGTGGTGTAGAAGTTGTGGTACTCAAATGTGGACCCCAAGGTCGTGGGTTCAATGGAGGCGAGATGGTTGAGGTCCTTGTACTGTGTGATGTCAGCGTACGCTAAAAAAACACCCGAGCACTATTTTCGTAGCCATCCTCTACGGTGTACCTAATATTCATTCGAGGTTCTCGGATGTTAAACCCCAGATGTTTTTATTACCTTTTAAACGCCAGTGTAGTCGGTGTGCCTGGTAAGGTTACGATGTGGACACAGCTATTACACTTTTTAGAACGCGTCAATGCACTTCGTAGCACTTGGCTCAATACGAAAAAATGCAGCGTAGACAAGTGCTCACTGTCCAATTTAATTCAATTCATTTATTATTCACAAGGAAATATGTACATCCGTTTTGTTATAAAGGCAGGGTGTCATAACTCACAGAAGAGTTGTGAAGGGGAGCCTTGTGTCGTATTCAGTAATATAAACACTAGAGCGCGCAAGAAGTTGGTATAACCGGGGTAAAATGAAGGTAGAATTCAAACAAGAGAGCATGAATCAATGTAGGTTAATTTTATAACAGGTAAATGATTGACGTTCTGTTAGGTCTGTTGGTAGTTTGTTCCAAAGATGCGATGCGGTATGTGTGATTGTAAATGATCCATAATTCGTGCCAGACTATGGAATGGTTCAAGTACTGAAGGAAGGACAGGGAGGTTAGACAGTACTGGAAGTAACTCAGCGTATGGGGTATGACGTGTCTTGGTAAGTAATTTCTACAGATGTACACAGTATAATTGTATGCATGATTTTATACAGCAATATGAGAACATGGTATTCAATGCAGCGTTTGACAGGAAGAATGCTACTACTTCGCATGAAAGCGATTCTCAGTACGCGTGAAATATGTCGATTTTTTTTCGTTACGCTTGTATTCAGTCGCTTTCAACTGCCGAAAATTTGCGTTTTGTTTTCTACCCAGCCAGTGCACTTGCTCTGAGCGTCAGAAGTAGCCCTAAAGCATAGAAGGAACTCAGAAAGAGAAATGTGGATTACCATTTCAATGCAGTCTGGTGAGCTATATAGTACCGAAAAATGAACACTAAAAAAGGGTAAAGGGAAGTATCGCCTTTATTCACACGACATCATCATCCTCCAGATTACTTCGTATTGTTTTCTAATATTAGTGAAACTTCCCGTGATAATAAAACTTGCTCTTGTGCGAGAAGAATCATGCTTGGTAGATAACTATGGTTGCACACTTAAAACACGAGGACATGGCAGACACAGACGAGCTCAGTTGCAGTCGTCCTTTCAATGAGCTTTTAGCGATGAGCTGATTAGGTTGTGATACCACCGTATGACGTTGTTGCAATTTCATTTCTCTAGTTCTCCTT